GTATAACTCTTTAAAGAGGTTTAGTCAGTCTAAATTATTTGAGGGCATCATTTTTATTTGGTACTTAGAAGTCTAAAATCTTCCTGATTCTTGTTAAGGTTACAAAGAGTCTGTGTATTGTTGGTTAGTTTAACAGTAAATACCTTTTTATCATTGTTAAATGGGTTGTAAATAAAATATTTCTTTTTCTTCAGTGTTAATTTACAATCATAATATTTAGATAATAATAGTAATTATATCATTTTTGGTATGTAATCTTATCCTACTGCCACTCCCTTCTTCTGCTGCACATACTACTAAGTATGACTTGGTCTCTATAATACTCTTTTATGGAGAAGGAAATTCTTAATATAGACTAAAGTAGGATTTTTTTAAGTTGTCTTTTAATGGCCTTTTATTCCAGTAAACTTAGATTTCTTATAGACATCAGTTTATTATGCCAAGCTCAGTAGCTCCTAGAGTGAGTGTAAATTTAGGCAAAGGAATAAACTGGTATTGTAGAAGAGATGGGGGAAAAGGAAATTTTTATTTTTGCTTTAAATTACTAAATCATGGTGTTTCCTGTCTCCAGTGCTTATCCCAATCAGTGTTTCTCTCTTTTCTTTTTTCCCTTCAGTCCTTAACCCCTAAATTCTTTGCTTGCATTAATTTGCTTCAGATTATAAGCCTAATGTATACTGTTCCAAATACATAAACTTTTCACTTTATCTCTGAGTGCTCTTTTAGAGTTCATCTCTTTGTTTTCCAGTAACTCATATTTGTTTCTTCTAATGCTTCACACTTCTCTCTCTTTTTTTTTTTTCATGTTTCTCACATTTTTTCTTTCCACATTATCTGCTGTAGCAAACTTGAAATACATGCTTTTGGAGAAGAATAAAAACAGTGTTTAGCCATATTCCGGTTATTAGCAGCAGCTCCTCTTTCTTCACGTATACTCAAAGGGACCAGAAAGTTATTTAAGCTCTTAGTTGCTGCAAATGCTAGTCCATGTGTGCCTATGGGTCAGCACAACAGGTTTTTTTTGTTGTTTTTGTTGTTCTTGTGTTTTTTGGTTTTTTGGGGGTTTTTTTTTTTTTGGTTTTTTTTTTTTTTTTTTTTTTTTTTTTTTTTTTTTTGGGTACAGATGAGAAAACTGAGACTGTGAGACATTCTGTGAATTTCCTAAGCTAGTTGGCAGCAGTGCCAGGATTCATAGAAATCTGGAGCAGGAAGACACACAATGAAGATTTTACTTTGAGGAATTTAGGGATCATCTATGTAAAGTGATTTTTCTGAGGTCACTAATTATGTTGTAGACTAGAACTCAAGTCTCCTAACTCCTATTATAGTGCCTTTTTTTCTTTTCTTTTTTTCTTTTTTTTTTAGGAGATGGGTCTCACTATGTTGCCCAGGCTGGTCTTGAACTCCTGGGTTCAAGCGATCCTCCTGCCTCAGCCTCCCAAAGTGCTAGGATTACAGATGTGAGCCACTGCACCCAGCCTCTAATAGTGCTTTTTCCTAGCATACTTTTCTTCTCCTAAGGTAAAAGGCTGTTTGTCATGGTACAGCTACAGTGATTTTACTTGAGATATTTGACTTTGAGATGAAGATGAAGATAAGTATATAATGCAGTTGCCACATTCATTCTCATAAAAGTTGGTCATGTAGATAAGCAGTCATATATTTATTGTATTTTGGACTGTTCTGTGATTTAAAAATTATGTAGAGAGTAAAAATCATCATACCAGAAAACCCAATGTTCTTTCCCCATTTCCCCTTTTTACTGTTTTGTAAAGTCATTCAAAAGATAAATCAAAGAACTATAAATGTATTTAAGAAGAAATTCAGCCTATATGTAATAAAATTTTGAATAGTCAAGTTCAGAAATTGGATTTTTAAAAAATTATTAGCTACTTTAACCCTTTTGAAATAGTCCCAAAAAGTGTTTTTCTCTTCCCGAGTTAAATTTTTTCATTTATTGACCTATTAAAGTATTTTTAGTGCTTTAGAGCTATTCTGTGTATCTGTTCATTTTTGTTATTTAGTAGTATATAGAAGTAGTAGATTGGGCTGAATAGATTTATTTCAGGATATATCTTAGATATTTGTGTTTTTTCATGAATCCCAGTTTAAGGGTTATTGCTTTCAAAAGGAAGAAATTTGGTTAGTTATGACTTGGCTAGTTGAAGTTTAGAGAACTGCTTTATACAGGATATTTTATTTATTTAGTGAGAAAAAACAACTTTTTATAATTTTATAATACTGTGTGAAAAACCTGATACCAAAACTTCTGAAAAAGAAACCAGGCCTAGGAGATGAGAAGTCTAGAGAAGATTATTAAATTGAGGATTTTTAAGTTAGTTTCTAAATTAGTAAATTGTGGCTCATAAGATTAAAATAATCTGATCCTTTAGTAAGATCTGAAGTAATATTTTTGCCCTTCAAAAAAGTGATTGTTATAAGTACTATTATTGTGAGATGATACTGCTTAGTCTACCTTGTATGTCAGCATAAGCAAGATTAGATTTTCTCTTTTCTCTAATAGATGCCAATATTTAACATTGATTTTTATCTAATTTCAAAAATATCTATGAAATATATTTTCTGTCTCTGAATTAGAATATGTGTATATTTGTCTTTACTTGAAATATTATAGCTGGATGATAGATTTCAGAGCAATTTTTATGCTTAGGGAAGCCACTACCTCCCAAAAAGGTTTTCTTATGAGAATGAGGAAAATAAGTATACATTTTCATATTTATGTTATTATGTTGATATGCTTGGATAATTGTATTTATAAAAGTAAAAAATGTTCAGTATTTTATCTAAAATGTAATAATGGATATTGTACAGCCAAAGAAATTAAAAGAAAAAGGACACTTTGAGAAAATGGCTTGTTCTTATGTATCTGAATATATACTGTGTTCACTTATGTTTTGTCAGACACTGAAATTGAGGAAGAGAGATTTGGCGTTCTGTTGGTTTATGGAGTGAGTTGATCAGAGATTGCTCCTTGGCTGAGTTGCTGTCTGCATAGGCTGTTAACAATTGTTTCTCTGGCAGCAGATCTTGTTCATCAGGATTGCATCATTTCTGGGAGAATGGCCAAGGTCCACAGCCTCAGTACAAAGACTGTCTGAAGCATATGAGGCCTGTTCTCTTTCTGAAGCGGCACTCCTCTTCCTGCCAGTCCTCTTCACAGGATTACTGAAGCAGACTTGTTCTGAATTTCTTTCATTGGATTGGTTGTTTATTGGACTCTTGTCTCCCAGCTGCTTCCGCCTCACCTGTCTGATGCAATTTCTTCTTCTGAAATCTCTGTTGGAATTGTTCATAAAACACTTTTTGTTTGTCTTCTCTGTGAGTGACCAGGGAGATCATACAGGTCTTGTGCTTTCAGCAAGTCATATAGAGAAGAGACTGTCAGAATGATGATATAGAGACTGTTGGCCATTTCTGAACCCAATTAAAAAGATGGGGTCCTTAAGAAACATTTCTGGCATGTTCTATCTAACATCCTTTCCCCTAGAAACTGTATGTAAATGGCACCTCCTAAAGAGAGTACTCGGTACTACTGGAAGGTACAGGCTGTCTCTGTTTCTGAATCCGAGAACTTACCTAGTGTTCCTAAGGTTTCTGATGGATTGTTGGGGAAATAGTTAATAAGAATTTGAAATTGTGATGCATTTTCCCCATACTGTACACTCACATCTATTTCTGTCTTTTCCTCCTTTCCTTTTTTCTTTCTTACTTGCTATTGCTTCTCCCTTGATGTACTTTATTTCTTCCTTCCTTTTACTGTTACTTTGATACTTTTTCTTTCTCTAATTCTGAGTATACTATTTTAAATTGTTTCTAAAAAATAGCTTATTTTCCAGTTTTTTAAAATTAGAAATCATAAAATATCAACGTAAATAAAATGCATGTGTTCTAATGCTTGGTAACTGGAATCCTATGAACAACTCTTTTCATGTTTATGATATGTTAATCTTTAAGCTGTTAATAACTCTGGCCAGTGTTAAATTTGACTTTTTGGAAAAAACACCAGAGACTTAAAGGATACTGATCATTTTCCCCCCAAAGTCCTGGATCACCTATTTTACCTTTCTTTTTGGAAGGTAGAAAATTAAGCCCCCTTTTTTAAGCATGTTTCCATTTGACCACACATAGAAATGACTCCCTTTTATCTTTTTTTTTTTTTTTTTTTTTTTTTGTTTTGAGACGGAGTCTCGCTCTGCCGCCCAGGCTGGAGTGCAGTGGCCGGATCTCAGCTCACTGCAAGCTCCGCCTCCCGGGTTCACGCCATTCTCCTGCCTCAGCCTCCCGAGTAGTTGGGACTACAGGCGCCCGCCACCGCGCCCGGCTAGTTTTTTTGTATTTTTTAGTAGAGACGGGGTTTCACCGTGTTAGCCAGGATGGTCTCGATCTCCTGACCTCGTGATCCGCCCGTCTCGGCCTCCCAAAGTGCTGGGATTACAGGCTTGAGCCACCGTGCCCGGCCATCATTATTTTTTATAGTAGGACAAGAAACTAGATGATGTGGAATGAAGGGAAAGAAAGGAGTAATAAATATGGACTTGTAATTTAATGGGTGATGATGGGCCCTTGTCTGGCTGGACAGCTATCGGACATCGGGTTAAAGATCTCTGAATTTGAGAACTGTTCAGTGGAGAAGGGAGTCACCTCTTAGGAGAGAGAAAAAGGAGTCCCTTGGAAAATGAGAGAGAATTCTAATTTGAAGGAAGGGGAAGAATTAGCCAGTGACAGAAGTATTTACCATTTATGTCAAATAATTTCCTTCCCTACCCTCTCGTTTCTGGCTTTATGGAAAAATTAAAGATTAAAGGGCAAAAAATTCAGTGCTGGATGGACGTAGGGTGGTAAACAAGATAGTATAGATGTAGGATGGTAAGCAAGATAGTATACAGAAACAAAATTGTTAATATAGCTGTAGAATTCCATTCTGTGTGTTGATCAATGTTATTTCTTTCTATACTAATTTGTGTCTCAATTTTTTCTAGGTCTTCAGAACTACTAGCAGATAATTTGGGGGGACTTCATATTCAGAAGTCTATATAAAGGTGACTGACCCAAGTAAATCCTTTTAATTTCTGTTTTATTTTTTGCATTTTAATGACTGCTGGAATCATGTTGTAGTAAATGGTGATTATAATTTACTTGGCAAATATTTCTTGAACTTCTTTATGTGTCAGTTACTGTTTTGGCCATTGGAACTACAGCAGTGGATAAAAATCCCTTTCCTCATAGAGTTTATATTCTGGTAGGAAAAAACAAATTATAATAAGAAAATACTGCATTTGGATGATCTGTTCAATGTTCCTCAGTTAACATTTTAATAGTGACATTTTACAGAGAGTTACTTAGGGAAGGAACTATTCTTAGGGTAATATTTGAGAAATTTGGGGTTATTAACAGAATTTGAATTAAGAAGCCTTATTATTATTAAATCATTAGTTAGAATGAGATGGTCAAGCTAACCTATTATAGTTGCTTTCATCAGAAGAATGAAGCAGTCATGTTAAACTAGACACGAGGAAAAAGGAATATTTTTTATGAAATAGAAATTTATAGTTACTGACTTAATTTTTTTTTTTTTTTTTTTTTTTTTTTTTTTTTTTTTTGAGACGGAGTTTCATTATTGTTGCCCATGTTGAAGTACAATGGTGCGGTCTCGACTCACTGCAACCTCTGGTTCCCGGGTTCAAGAGATTCTCCTGCCTCAGCCTCCCAAATAGCTGGGATTACAGGCGCCTGCCATCATGCCCGGCTAATTTTTTTGTATTTTTAGTGGAGACTGGGTTTCACTGTGTTAGCCAGGCTGGTCTTAAACTCCTCACCTCAGGTGATCCGCCCACCTCAGCCTCCCAAAGTGTTGGGTGTGAGCCACTGCGCCCGGCTGACTTAATGTTTCTTAAAGTTATTTATCAGCTATCCAAAATAGCTGTGTTGGTGTAGCAATCATTTATTCACTCATTAAGATGTTATCTGAAGGAACTTTTCCATCTTTTCCTTTTAGTATATCTTTTAAAAATTGCTCTAGGAAAAATATCAACTATCATCTTGGGTTTATAACTTGTCTTTTATCTGGAAACTGTACCTTTTTTTTTTTTTTTTTGGAGACAGAGTCTCACTTTTGCTTAGGCTGGAGTGCAGTGGCCCTGTCTCAGCTCACTGCAATCTCTGCTTCCCAGGTTCAAACGATTCTTGTGCCTCAGCCTCCCAAGTAGCTGGGATGGATCATAGGCATGTGCCAACATGCCCAGCTAATTTTTGTATTTTTAGTAGAGATGGGGTTTCACCATTAAACCGTGCATTTTTTAAATGGGTATACAATAGTAATGGCTACAACAAAGGGTTTTTAATGATGTTGAGTACGGTTTTTGGTTTAAGTGTTTTACTGAAAATATAACACAATTCAGATTCCCTTTACTGATCAGGGGAGGTGTGGTGATAATCAGACTTTCTTATGATTATCTGGTCAGACAGTTTTGGGGCTTTTTTAAAAATCTGAATTATACAGTGATACTAATAGAAAGAGTTGTAACCAACAGCCCCCAGTATTTAACTGTGTCTTTTGGGTTTACTTGATGAGTGTTCTTGTTTTATCATTTACAGATTTTACTTCAGTTTCCCAAAGGCTTAGAAGATGTACTACCAAGGTCTCTGTTTGGATATACTGTTAGGGAAAGGAAACATACATGTGTAAGACTGGCCTAAAGGCAAAAAACTTTTTCTTTTTTCTTTTTTCTTTTTTTTTTTTTTTTTTTTGGCGACAGGGTCTCACTTTGTTGCTCAGGCTGAGTGCACTGGCACGATCTCAGCTCACTGCAACCTCCACCTTCCAGGCTCAAGCAATCCTCCCACCTCAGCCTCCTGAGTGGCTGGGGCTACAAGTGCATGCCACCACACCAGATTTTTTTTTTTTTTTTTTTTTTTTTGAGATGGGGTCTCACTCTGACGCACAAGCTGGAGTGCAGTGGTGTGATCTCACCTCACTGCAACCTCCCCCTCCTGGGTTCAAGCGATTCTCCTGCCCCAGCCTCCTCAGTAACTGGGATTGCTGGTGTGCACCACTACAGCTAATTTTTGTGTTTTTAGTAGCGAAGGGGTATCACCACATTGGCCAGGCTGGTCTCGAATTCCGGACCTCAGGTGATCCACCCGCCTTAGCCTCCCAAAATGCTGGGATTACAGGTATGAGCCACCGCACCTGGCCCACACCAGGTAATTTTTGTATTTTTAGTAGAGACAGGATCTAACCATGTTTCCCAGGCTGGTCTCCAACTCCCAAGCTCAAGCAATCCACCTGCCTCAGCCTCTCAAAGTGCTGGAATGACAGGAATGAGCCACTTCGCCTGGCCCAGTCATTCGCCAGCCCAGCTATATGTCACCTCCATTTGGGTATAGGAACAGGCGTATTATCATACCCAGAGGTCTCACTTCATCATCCAGGCTGGAGTGCAGTGCATGATTATGGCTCACCGCAGCCTCTACCTCCTGTGCTCAAGTGATCCTCCCACCTCAGCTCCCAAGTAGCTGGGAACACAGGCGCACATCACCATGACTGGCTGATTTTTTTTTTTTTTTTTTTTTTTTGCTATTTTTGGAGAGATGGAGTCTCACTATGTTGCCTCGGCTGGTCTCAAATTCCTGGGCTCAAGTGATCCACCTCGGCCTCCTAAAGTGTTGGGATTACAGTTGTGAACCACTGCACCCAGCCCACAATTTTTTTTTATTTGCATTAATCTTTGTATATCAAAGTAAGATTGGAGCATCTCAGACCATCTATCATTTAAAATTTACATTAACCGGCCAGGCACGGTGGCTCACGCCTATAATCCTAGCACTTTGGGAGGCTGAGATGTGGGTGGATCACCCGAGGTCAGGAGTTCGAGAATGCCTGGCCAACATAGTGAAACTTTGTGTCTACTAAACATACAAAAATTAGCCAGACATGGTGGCGGGCACCTGTAGTCTCAGCTACTTGAGAAGGTGAGGCAGGAAAATCTCTTGAAACCGGGAGGCAGAGGTTGCAATGAGCCAAGATTGCACCATTACACTTCAGTCTGGGCAACAAAAGTGAAACTGTCTCAAAAAATAAAAATAAAATTTACATTAACCCTCTAGGTTGATTCAGTCGGTATCATGTACTTTAAATTCCTTTAGCTTTTTTAGTATTAATAATGGTTCTAATGACTTATTATGAATCAGTGCATCAGTCATGATTCTCTTTGTAGTCTTTTTTGCAACAGTCCTTGTTAAACATGGGTCTTTGACATTCACATTGACTTTATCCCCCCTACATAAAATGCTTTTTTGTTTCATCTTTTTGATGTTTTTTTACACTACTGTAAAACTACTAATGTAAAGTCACACAAAGAACACTTGTTTCCCTCTGCACCATACCTCCAAATCTCTTAATCTATTTTTGCTTTTTTTCTACTTCAGTAATTTCTGAGTCTTTCTGTTCCCAAATTTCACTGGTTTATGGTCACCATGTCAAGCTATCCTCATTGCTTTTTCATACACAGTTCTTTAGTCTTTATCATGAAACTGTACTCTTCATGATTTCGGGATTTTTTTCGTTGTTTTTAAAAAACAATTGACTTTTTTAGAGCAGTTTTAGGTTCACAGGAAAATTCATCAGGAGATACAGAGATTTCCCATACACCCTCTGCACCCACGCATGCACAGCCTCCTCCTGGTTTACATTTTTGTTCATATCTAGCAGCATATTATTACCCCACAAATAAAGTTGCTAAGATGATTGCATCTTCTCCCAAAATTATAGTTAAGATGATTTAAAAGAAGGAAGAGAGTGTTCAGTGACAAAAGAAGGCAGTAAGAAACAGCTGTTTCCAATCAAGTATAAACAACCAATTGATCTCTTTTAATTTGGAAGAAATAACATTATTGACTGCTTGTGAAACTGCGTTTATTTGTGGCCTAGGGAAAAAAATGAAGATCTTGAATTTTTAAAGAGTTTAGGTAAACTAGGATATTTCTAATAACCATCCTTTATCTTAAAACTTGTTTGCTAGATCCTAGGCTGCCAGAAAATTTTGTTTGGGCAGTTTTAGAATGGGGAGAAAGCGTTGGTTAGTGAGATGGGCAGACTCTTCCTTTCCCTTCAACTGAAAAGGAAGAAAAAAGTAAGCATAACTTTTTGCCCCCTACTTTGTGAAACATTAATGAAATGCATAGTAAATCATGGGACACTGTGGCTGTATTTATTTTATAGCTATCCCTTAAAAGCCTTGTTCAAGAATGCAGAAAAATATTCAGTAGCATTTAAGATAAACTTAAAGAACCATCTGGGCCGGGCGCGGTGGCTCAAGCCTGTAATCCCAGCACTTTGGGAGGCCGAGACGGGCGGATCACGAGGCCAGGAGATCGAGAGACGATCCCGGCTAACACGGTGAAACCCCGTCTCTACTAAAAAATACAAAAAAACTAGCCGGGCGAGGTGGCGGGCGCCTGTAGTCCCAGCTACTCGGGAGGCTGAGGCAGGAGAACGGCGTAAACCCGGGAGGCGGAGCTTGCAGTGAGCTGAGATCCGGCCACTGCACTCCAGCCTGGGTGACAGAGCAAGACTCCGTCTCAAAAAAAAAAAAAAAAACCATCTGATAACTAGGTATTTATTTTACTAGATATTTTCCTTTTCTATTGTAGGATTCCTCATGTCCATAACATGTTGGATGACGCTCTGCAGCTCACCCCCACTCTCAGAGTGGTCAGTCTCCATTAATTGGACCCCGTGATTTCCAATCTCTGCTGTGTTGGACGTCATGAGCATTGCAATCCCTCTGGGAGTCACCACACCAGATACATCCTACTCAGATATGGCTGCTGGATCAGAGTAAGTGCTACTTTCTAGGTCGTAGGTAAATTACCAGTCTGTGTGGAGACAACTTTCTTATGGATAGCTAATAAGATAATATGTAGTATTTTCTTAACCAGATCCTGTCCCACTATAATTAACATTAGACCTTTCCCTTTACCCCCATTGAAGCTGGAGGAAAAAAGGAATTAGAAGGGGAAGGGTTTTCAGAGGGGTATTTCTGGGCAAATAATTAATAGAACCAAAGTTGCAAAGTAGGAATTCATTCTCATTTATTTTAATGGGTGGGGAAAATTAGAATATTACTACCTGCTTCTGTAGAGTTAATGATTATTCTGATGGAGGGAGATAAGGTGTTCTTTCCAACTGATTTTCCTTGAAGTCCTCTTCCTATGTACTTCCCATTGTTCTAGAGTAAAGGGGTCGAAACTGTATGGGCAGGTTGCCTAGACCTTCTGACATCTGGGGTAGAAAACATGGAGAGCAGTGTCATCTGTTTATTTTTATAATATTCATTGCCTAGAAAGAGGACCTTCAAAATCAGTGGTACCAAACTTTCTTTTCAGCTAAGAGCAGCTTTAGGAATTCAGAGTTTGTCCAAAGGCCCAATCCCTAAAATTATACTCTCAATTCTTGAAGAATGTAAATGCCAAATGACAATGAAGGTAGGCCTTCATTATACAACTTTTATATATATTATTCACAGTTTTTAAATTTTTAGTCTTTTGTATCCCTTCTCTTTTAAGTTGTCCAAGATTCCCCCTGCTCACAGATTCCCCCTGTTGTCCTTTTACCTCCCTTGTACCCAATCTTCCTTGCTTACAGAAAGGAAGTGGAAGCCCCCTACCTTTCAAGACGAAGTGGCACTACACCAGGATGTGAAAGTCCAGCGAAAGAGACCCAAGGGGCCTAGGGGGCAGCACACCCCCAGAAGCCAAGTCTATTCCAGGCAGTACCAGGGATTAGGGTCTGGGCTGGAAAAATCCTGGTGTTTTGAATATGTTCAGGTCCAGTTCAGACTCTTGATCCCACAGCCACTTCTTGAGTGAGGTGGGTGTTGCTCTAATTCCCCTGTTTCTCTTGCCATTTTCACAGTCCCCGGGGATGCGTCCCCCTTCAGCAAAGCAAAGCAACTGAACCAGATTTCTGGGTTGAATGGCAACCCTGATTAATAGTGGTTTTCTTCCTTAAAACAATATTATTAAAGATTGTGTATATTTCTTCATAAAGCCACCTAATATAACTTACCTGTTGACTGAGTTCCTTAAAAAGGAAGACTTAAAGCTACCCTGAGAAATAGTATATAATATTCTGGGGTGGTCTAAAACGGAAAGCAGCGTTTGGGCTTTTTCCCATATAAAAAGGAGAAAGGAGGGTTGGGAGTGGGGAAGGGTTGATTTTGTTTCTTCTAGAGCTTTTTTCTTCTTTTGTTTTTTTTATTTTGGTTTGGTTTGGGGTTTTTTGCATGCAAAAGGTATTTAGTTATACCAGTAACTGAGACTTACCATTTTACAACTCTTTCCCCAAATAAAGTACTTAAAACTCTTCCTGCATTAGTAGGTAGCCCAGTTGTATTGTGTTTATAGGTTTTTATAAAGTCGGCTACTAACCTGGTACTATGTAGATTGTCTAACTATGTAGATAGATAGCATTAACATTTGTGAGAAATTTCAACAAAGAGGTTAAACCAGTAAGTTTGGAATTAGTAGATAAAAGACCCAGAGCAGTTAATCTTACAATTGGTGTTTTCCCCAAAGTATAGACATGACTGCCCGCAAATACTGCTAGGGAGTCCAGGAGTAATTTCAGAAATAAAAATACTTCTGGTCTACAAATGTGACTGCACTGTCTCTGTTAACACCAGCGTATTCTAGGATTTCCTGAAACATTTTCATTCATGATCTCCAGACAGATTTCTGATACTGTAGTCGTAACTGGCTACATAGTTACGCATTTCTACAAAGGGAAAGAATGTCAATGACTAGCTACGTACCATTCTGTTAAATTATTAATATTTATTAATGTTTCATCATGCCTATTTCACTGTCCTGGGCACTTTAAGATTAAACCTGGTATTAAGTGCAGCATACTTAACTAGACCTAGACTTCATAGGATTTTAAATCCTATGGCAACTGTATGCACTATGCATTTATTTTTGTGTGTGTTTGTAGGAAATTTTGTAGATGTAACAAGTGAAGCAAAGATTTTTCTGAATTTCCAATTCTGCCATTACAGAATTTCAGGCATTTTCCAAGAAATGGCATGATAGCAACTGGGTTGCATGTTGTACTTAGAACACAGTTGATGGAGTATATCTGTTGTGAGCCTGGTTTCTGTGTATGTGTCCAATTCAGTGATAGGAGAAGAAAGGCTGTAATTAGATTTGCATAAAGTGTTTGCCTGCTAAAGAGATGTAATTCCATTCCAAATTTTTAATTCATATTTTTAAATATAAAAACTAGTATATATATCAAGGAATGTTTTAGGAAATCTTATAGTTACCTGTCAATGTCTAACTATGTATTTAATCAATAACCAATATGGAAATTGCAGAGTTTCTTCATCAGAAGAGTTTAAATTTTAGATTTGGCATGCACAGCAATATATTCAATGCTGTGCTTAACTAGAAAGTATTGTGCAATACGATGGCCTTTTAACCTCCACAATATACATTTTATTTTTATTCCCTAGACTTGCACATGAAGTGCATATGTTCATATTTACCCGTTTGGAGATGGGTAAGATACAACCAGCATAGCTCCATCTCCATGGCCATCTTTGATTTCATGCAACTTTCCTTTTTCCTGTCCCCACCCCCCAAAAAAATCCATTCCTAATAAACAGCTATCATGTTTCACTCCATGTGTTCAGTGGTACAAAATCTATATAAAATATATACAGCTTTTGGAATACTTGTTTAATAATGTACCTAGTAAATTAACAATGTTGTATAAATTTATTACTTTCTTTTAACTGTCCATCATAGAAACTAAATTATACCTTCATTTTATTATTTCTTGTCTGCCTTTGGTTTCATTTAGGAAACCCCACCTGTTTCCTAATACTCAGAGATGATTGCCTCTCAGTGAGCCATGTTCAGATCATCTTTTTCTCAAGAATACTGACCTGCATTCTTGATGTACCCCTCCCCCTGTTCCCATCTTGCAGACACTTTTAAGTAATAAAATGCATGCACCTCACTAACAGAGAATACTTTCCTCTGTCTAAAGTTCTTCTTCACCTAGAAATTTCCTTTGCTGTTATTAATAAGATCCCTTCTCACAGTTTTGGAGCATATAACTGGGTGAGTTGGATACACATCTCAGAATTTTCTTTGATCCCTCACTTCTCAATTGACATTGCACCACATTGAACTGCACACTTATTCCTGCCATACTATATATTGTATATCTCTAAGCAGGAAAAAATGTCTGTTATTTCAAGCAAACAATATGCATTATTTGACTCCCTGAAAGACCCATTAATCTCTAAGTTTGTGTTATACCAATCATCGGAGTTTCTAATTTGTGAATCTGTGTTCTAATTAGTATAAATTACAAATTACTATTCTATTCTGCAAAGCTGTACAAACTTTTTATTTTTGAATTATCCTTCAGTATTCCCTAAAACCTAACCAGGTAACAATCAAAGTTGAAGTTCTTGCTTCCCATAAACCTGAATTTTATCATTTGCCATCAAAGCCTTTTTATTATAAAGGCTTATGTTAATTTTCTAAGTTTGAATACATGTATAATTCTACAATAATACATTGTGCTTGAATAGTTTATTTTCTACTCACAAAGGGTACAAAAAGATACTAAACCGAGCTTCTCACTAAGCCTGGTTAATAAAGGTCTCAAATAATTTTCTTTAAAGGACTAAATGTCATCCTCATTTCTATAGCGGAAAGAGCATAGACTTTGGAGTCAGACAGACTTTGTTTCAAATCTTAGCTGTGTCAATATGTAACCTTGGGGAAGTCATGTAATCTCACCACCACATCTTCCCCCTCTGTAAAAATGGGGTATATACCATGTTTAGTGGTTGCTGAAATTGAATTAATAGATATATAAAGCACCTAACAAATAATGGGCAGTTCACAATGGTGGCCATTACTGTTGTTATTATTTGTCACTAGACTAACATAACTTTCCAGTTTAGTTTTTATTTTGAAGTTCTATGGTATTATCATGCAGCTGATAAATAATTTTGTCCTTAATATGCTTGCATGTCATTGGTGGATGAGAAATTATTACTCTAATATTTGAAAGGTGTTGGGGGTTCGTCAAGATGAGAGGTATGATAAATATAAGATGCCATTGTTTTTACCTGTACTTTCTTCAGGGTATCCTGTCTTGGTAGTGAATGGAAGAGGGCCTGGTCCCTGGGGCAGTGCAGAAGGCACTTTCATCATCTCACTCACTGCAAATGTCATGTGAGGTTTCATGGAAGTATTAAGAGATCCAATTAAGAAGAATAGTTCTGAGTCTAAACCAGCCCAGAGTGGCTTCTCTAGGGGAAACTCCCCGCTCAGCTGGTACGTTTGTGTTTGTCATTAGGGACACCTTGTATCTCAGGTGCCTGCCTTCAGACATCTGCCTGTACTGGCTTCACACAAATCCACATTTAATAACACTCCTACTGTTATTTATAGGCTTAGTTATGTTAATAAGATTGTTTCACTGAGTTCTTTCTCTTATCCTAGTGGCTAGTGGTTGTGGAAAGAGGAGGGGTTAGAATGGGAAATGAAGTTAGTTTAAGGGAAGATTAGGTGTTATGCTATCATGCATTGCTTTTCGCCTTTGTGCAGCCCTGAATCTGTGGAGGCTAGTCCAGCAGTTAATGAGAAGAGCGTGTATTCCACTCATAATTATGGGACCACTCAGAGGCATGGGTGTCGAGGACTGCCTTATGCTGTGAGTATGCATTTGTTTCTCTCCAGAACAGTGATCTTCCTGGAGTGTAATCCATTCTTATACATTGTGACTTTCTTGAAATGTTTATATGCAGCATGACGAAGTTGCCCCTTTTGCACTTCCCTGACTCCAGCGGACGTCTAGCCCTGCATCATTGTTCTTGTTTTTATGTCCCAGTTGACCTTGGCATTTTGTTTTATCACTTTCCTGGTTGAAGCCAAAAAACGAAGGGTACTACTTTCTTCTTTCTTTCCATATGTACCATACTTTAGGGGAGAGAGGGGCCAGTGTTTGGACACTGTTGATTTAAAAAATCTTATTTTCAGGATCATAATTACGGAGCCCCTCCTCCTCCGACACCTCCTGCTTCTCCCCCTGTCCAGACGATCATCCCTCGTTCTGACCTGAATGGCCTGCCGTCGCCCGTAGAGGAACGCTGTGGAGACAGCCCGAACTCTGAAGGAGAGACTGTACCTACCTGGTGTCCTTGTGGTCTTTCTCAGGATGGCTTCCTTCTCAACTGTGACAAGTGCAGGTAAGATCCTGTTCCATCTAAATTTAAGTCTGGGTTGCTGGGATTAGGGTTTCTTACAAGTAGGGAAAAGCTCAAAGTATTCTTTCTTGTGTTTGTTAATGTAGATGATTCCTTAGTGCTCCTTGGCTCGAATTCTCTGCACTAGGTGAGAATTGCTGACAACAAGGAATGAGAGATTGATGTTAAAGCTATTGAATTTGATATGAAATTTAATGTCCTGGAAACATTTGGTAGGTGGGAGGGAGGGGGTAGCATATGCAGAGACACTTCGCCCATGTGTGCTATGATGTGATGCATGCTGTTGAAAGGACTACTTTAAGTTTATTTTCCCTCTTTAGGGGAATGAGCAGGGGGAAGGTTATTAGACTTCATCGGCGGAAGCAGGACAACATATCAGGTGAGCGGAAGATGGATTAGGTCCACAGTTTGACATATAAATATTCTGTGATCTGAATGTTCATTTTAAGAACCCCTCTTGGCCCGGTGCAATTGATCACGCCTGTAATCCTAGCACTTTGGGAGGCCAAAGCGGGTGGATCACCTGAGGTCGGGAGTTTGAGACCAGCCTGACCAACATGGAGAAACCCCATCTCTACTAAAAATCCAAAATAGCCAGATGTGGTGGCGCATGCCTGTAATCCCAGCTACTCGGGAGGCTGAGGCAGGAGAATCGCTTGAACCCGGGAGGCAGAGGTTGCCATGAGCCGAGATTGCACCATTGCACTCCAGCCTAAGCAACAAGAGCAAAACTCCATCTCAAAAAAAAAAAAAGACCCCTCTTATAAGTTCCTGTGGTCCCCCAGCCAGCTCTTTTCACAGAAAGAGATAGAAGTCCTCTCAAGACCACTGTATAGTTCTCTCATTGTAAACGAAATGTATTGGGAACATTTTAGCCCTGCAGCAAAGTATTCCTTGTGAACACCAAAAACATGGATCCCTCTTTTAAAAATTAGCCAGTCTCAAATTGTTATAGATTGAGTCAGTGAAGCTTAGAGACTGAATACAAGGGGAGAAATAGACACCATGAGGAATAGGGTTTATATGCTTAATGCCAATCACATAGAATCTTGTTTTCATAAGGAAGATGGGTACCTAATGTTGCTTTACAGATAATGAGAGTTAATAATGTAAGTAATGACTTACTGCATGTGGTGCACACCTAAAACAATAAGCTACTTTTAATGTACTTTTGAGGCTATTAGTACCTGAACTAATAAATCATCGTTTTTCAGGTGGGGATAGCAGTGCAACAGAAAGCTGGGATGAGGAGCTTTCTCCTTCCACTGTGTTGTATACGGCAACACAGCACACACCTACAAGCATCACCTTAACTGTTAGAAGAACCAAACCCAAGAAGCGGAAAAAGAGTCCAGAAAAGGGTCGTGCAGCACCAAAGACGAAGAAAATCAAGGTATGTAGGGTAAAAATAAATATAAGTGTCTGAAATAGCTCAAATTTTGGAGCAAGAATGCACCAAAATTCTTTTAAGAAGTTTGATCCAGGTATTTGAAGGGCCACTTTTGTTCTACTTGCAAAAATCAGCTAATCTGTGTTATATACATGTAGACCAACCTCTCTTCTGCCACACCATATCATCACCACTGGCTCAAAGTTTCTTCTACTCCAGCCCCCATCCCAGGTATGAAATTCCAGCCCTACCTGGCACAAGCCCATATGTGTTGCAGCCTCAAGTCTAGGCTTCCACTATCCGTACAGTATCTCCCCACCTTTCAACCCCAAAGTACAGTCTGAAATTCTTGTCCTGGTTACATGCCTCATGTCTTTGGGTTGATTGTTTTTCCTTGTTTCAAAAAAAATAAAAATCAGGAAACATCTCTTGAATGCTCTAGGCTTCCTCAGTGTCATGGTCACTTTCCTGTATTCTCAGCTAAAAAGTCTCCGGGAGAAACTTCTTCTGGTTTGTGTTCTTTCTTCCCCATCACAGCAACTTTGTTGCTTCTAGGTGACTTGTTCACCCCTTGTTAAGGGGATTGGTCTTTGTTTCCTTCTTAGTTGCAAAACTGGTAAATCTGCAACTTTAAAGTTTTTTTATTTACTTTTTCTCTTAGTATCTGAAGTGCATATAGGATTTAAGAGACCCATGCTCTTCCCTGTTAATTACCTAGCTTCACAGTAGAAAGTATTAAAATTAGTCTCAGAGTTCATTGGCCTTGAGCTACCCCTATTCTTGATAATAGTTTGGGGAATTCCATTGTATTTTTTACCTAGAGAAACGGGGACAGAATAGAACACTAGTTTGTGCCTTAGTTTTAGTCTCAGATAGGTATAACTGTCATTCTTGGTACCAAGTTTTGTTTGTTCTACTTGTTTTCCTCCTTGGGATAGGCATTTCGAGAGGGATCCCGGAAGTCCTTGCGGATGAAGGTAAGGGGTAATCTTCGCTGATGCTGTGTTTTACTTCACTGTGATCTTGCATTTTGGTCAGCTTCTTTCTTGACATTGATGGTCTGGGAATCTTGGAGTCTGCTTTTCATTAGTTTGTAGTTGTTGCCATTCAGTTTTCATAGAGCTTTTCTCCAAAGTAGATTTTCTTGGCCATTTTCTGAAATATTTTCCCTTTCTGTAATCAGCCTTCATTGATTGGTTTTTCATGCATTGCTTTTGTAGGGAGTAAGTGACATTTTTCCAAACAACATGAGGCTGGTATGTTCTGTCACTGTGATTGAACTCAACCTTAGGAGTGGAGTTTTCTGGTAATGATATAGGATCTCTTGTGCATCTACCCTAGCACTGTGTGGGCTTTAATTGCAGAAAGCTTGTATTACTGATAAGAATTACTCTTTTCTCATAGCATATCTGTTTGGTGGAAAAGACTTAGATAATGCTAGCATGTTTCTTAAGATATCAAATAAAAGAGTTTATGAGGTATGACTTTGTAAAGAACTTGGAGAATAGAGCAATTATGTGGAATGGTTTAAAAGAACTGTTAGGTGCTGGTTGATTAAAAACAGTTTGCCAAAAGGAGATTTGATTATGCTGTCTGGTATCCTCCTTTACCTATGTGTATATGTATATAGGAGGAAAACATACCTCCCAAATTATTACTGAGGGCTTCAAAGCATTTAATTAGAATTAAATTCGAGTTTATAAGTATTTATATTCTTAAATGATACAAAAGCAGGCTCTTTCCTATTGAGAGTTATAGGGCATAAACATTAAAATATTTTGTAAGGCCAGGCTCAGTGGCTCATACCTGTAATCCTAGCACTTTGGAAGACCAAGGCAAGTTGATCACCTGAGGTCGGGAATTCAAGACCAGCTTAGCCAACATGGTGAAACCCCATCTCTACTAAAAATACCAAAATTAGCCAGGCATGGTGGCAGGCACCTGTAGTCCCAGCTACTTGGGAGGCTGAGGCAGGAGAATCACTTGAACCCAGGAGGCGGCGGTTGTAGTGAGCCGAGATCACGCCACTCCAGCCTGGGCAACAGAGCAAGACTCCATCTCAAAAAAAAAAATTCAGTAAGGATAAGCTTTTTTAGGATTGCTTTATGTGCGGCACCAATGTGACTGGTGTTAGCAAAGATTACAGGTAGCACTTTACCTAAAGTTCGAAGACCTCACTTAATATCTATAAACAGACTTGCACATACCTGTGAAAGTGTTGGGAGACCATCAGAGGCCTGGCATCAGAGGCCTGGGATGTGTCTTGGAAGACAAATTAATCATTTCTTTGCTGGATCTGTCTCCTGCAAGTGGCCAAGTTTGCTTTAGCTGCCCCTTTATTTTTGTCTCATTTGCTTAGAGAGGGGCCTTTTAAATAGACTTTGGAGGCGGATAATAGCCCTAATCCTGTCTACTAAATGCTTTTCTCTCATCAAGCAACTATCATAACTCATCTCCAGAAGCTCAAAACCTTTTGAAAGCTATAGACTGGCTCTACCAGAAAACTGCACATAAACCCCATACTTTGCTTTCAGTTTTGAGAGGTTGACAGCCTCATAGGTGTGTTAAAATTTAGACAGAAAAAAAAAACAATTACTAGTCATTTTGAGTCTTTTAATTCTAAGTTGAGTTATAAATTTTATGCTCAGAATTACTAGTTTAAAACTCCTCCAGTGATCCAGGTGGGAGCCGTAAGAATTAGAAAAAAAATATCATTTGGATTTTTAATCCCAGTGTCAAGAGCAGCTTCCCTACTGAAGACTTAATTGTAAATCAGGGTTTCTCAGTCTTGACACTGCTGACAGTTTGGACCAAATCTGTGTTGTGGAAGGGACTGTTCTGTGCTTTCAAGATGTGAACAGAATCCCTGGTGTCTACCCACTAGATGCCAGTAACACTCATACACTCAGTTGAGATTATCAAAAATGTCTTCAGATATTACCAAATGTCACCTGGGTGCAAAATTTCCCTCAATTGAGAACCACTGCTCTAAACCCAGCTGAGGTAGAGTCTCTAATGCCTTGAAGGATGGGACAGCAGAGTAAACACACAGTGAGATTAGTAAACAGTGGCAAATACTGTGACAGAGGCTTCCAGAATACAGTACACTTACCAAGTCATAAGTTTAATGATTGCTACTTAAAGCTGGGAATATTGTTTGAACACTGCCAATCCCCCAGTCTGTAAGCTCCGTTAAGCCTAAGGTTTTGCACTATTCTTTTGCATAACTGCTACTGATGTCAAGCAGGTGATACTCTGATTGTCAGTATGTTGGCCTTAGGTGTTTCTTTAGATCCCTCTGTTTATTTTTCAGTCTTTTGGACTCTAGTAAGAAATGTGGAAACAATAGTGGTGATTTTTTTTTTCTTCCATACTCCTGTTCCTTGCAGAAAGGATAGTAGACAATAATCAGTCAGCAACAGTGATGCAAAAGTGGCAAAAGAAAGTGTGATGATAAGCATCCGTGTTTTCTGTGCCATTCATGGAAAGTATATTTAATTTTGTTGTACCTGTTTGCAAGTTTAATGTGGACATGGATTTTCAAGTAGCTTTGGTACTACAGTGTCTTTTCCTTCTAATCACTAGCATGATATCATTACTGTCAGTGTTTGTTTTGTTTTCTGATGGCACTTAAGTCTTGAACACCATGGAGGAGAGCATGTATTGGGCTTAAGCTTTGTCTTTGTAGCTCAGGCACTGTCTGCCTAGGAAGCTGTTCCTGAGTTGTAATCTTTTCTCAATACTGTCACCATAGAGGGCGATGGTTTTCCTAGAGGAGTATAGCAAAGTACCTCTTAGACATTTTCTGTATTCTCCCTACCTACTCCTCCACCCTCACTTCACCTCTTCAGATTATTTAGAATGTGGTAATTTAAAATGTTGAAAATAGGGTGTTAGAAAGATATACTCAAATAATAACTTTTTATACGGGCAGTAAGATTATGATTGGATTGATGAGATTGACTGATTAAGGTCACGTAGGTTTAGAAAGAACATGAATTATGAAAATAATAAGTGACACAAAAACATTCATTCTCCTGGAGAATAGTCAGAAAACCAGTTTGGGCTAACACCAACACAGAGTGAGTATGAAAAATTTAAGCAGTGGTAAATGTGAGGTCTCTACTGTTCATTTTTATGAAGATTTTCTTATGAACTTGATGTCAGTCTTTTGGTAAGAAAATTGATTTTTATGACTTTAAAATGGTCATAAAATCACAGTGATGGGGTAAAACTATGATCCCAATTAATTTCTTACTTTATAAATGGAGAAACTGAGCTTCCCCGTTTAAAGAAGTCGTTCAAGGTCTCACCTCTCATTGGTAACAAAAGCATGATAGAAACCAGATCCTCTGACTCCCAGTCCATTACTCTTTTATGCCACATCAGTTGCCAAGTGATAGGTTTTCTCTGGAACCCCAACTTGTCCCAGCCCCATTCCCAACCCCCTATTTATGCATGGACTTTACTAACCTCCCTGAATTTGTTTTCTACAGAATTCTCCCTCTGAAGCACAGAATTTAGATGAGAATACAACTGAGGGCTGGGAAAATCGGATAAGACTATGGACTGACCAGTATGAAGAAGCTTTCACTAATCAGTACAGTGCAGATGTACAGAACGCCCTTGAACAACACCTACATTCTAGCAAGGAATTTGTGGGCAAACCTACTATTTTAGACACTATTAATAAGACTGAATTGGCCTGTAATAACACAGTTATTGGTTCCCAAATGCAGGTAAGCACCAAAGGGTTGAAGACTCTCTAAGTATCTGAAATTTTAAGAACCCAGAAAGAGGGTAATGGATTGGAATTACTGTTCCTTCCAAATGTACAAGGCCATAGAATAACAGATTAGACAGGTGTTGATCATACGTAACCAAAAGTAGGTTATATTAACTGGAAACTATCTGGATACATATTTTTAAACTACCTTTATTAATAAAAAATAGATGAATTGAGGCTGTGTGCAGTGGCTCACTCCTAGAATACAACACTTTGGCAAGAAGCCAAGGTGGGAGGATTGCTTGAGGCCAGCAGTTCAAGACCAGCCTGTACAACATAGTGAGACCCTCTCTACAAAAAAATTTAAAAGTTAGCCATTGTGATGGTACACACCTGTAAGTCCCAGCTACTGGGGAGGCTGAGGTGGAAGGATCACTTGAATGAATTTGAGGTTATAGTAAGTTATGATTGCTGCACCACTGCACTCCAGCCTGGGTGACAGAGTGAGACCCTGTCTCTTTAAAAAAAAAAAAAAAAAGATGACTTAGTATGGGAAATTTTGTATAACCTAGGTAGGAATTATCTAAGATTTATAGAAAGTTAAGCATGTTCTTTCTCAACTTTATTAGAGATAGAGTCACTGAAATTTTAATCATGGTTTTTTGTGTTTTTTGTTTTGTTTTGTTTGTTTTTTGGGTTTTTTATGTTGCCTTTTCTGGGGAGGCAGTTTCACTAGATGTAGCATGTCTCTTAGAAAAATTGAGCTTTTGTCACATTTTAAAATTTCTCATCATTGATCTAAATAACATATACAGATAAAACCTGAAAATGTTAGCATGTTTTCCTTAATTATGAAATAATTTGAGTGTCTGGTAAGGTGTTCTTGCTGTTGTTTAATGTTACTGCTCTGGTTTTATTCAGTTACAGCTGGGAAGAGTCACTCGTGTTCAAAAGCACCGGAAGATCCTGAGGGCTGCAAGAGATTTGGCTTTGGACACTCTTATAATAGAGTATCGTGGGAAAGTCATGTTACGACAGCAATTTGAGGTCAATGGGCATTTCTTCAAAAAGTAAGAACATCATTCATTGAGCAGTGAGGGCTAAGGTGGACCTGGTTGACCAGTGTTGTAAAAATCATTCTGTTTGATAGGATGCTCTTGGGAGAAAAAAAATCACAACTCAGATAAGCTCACGCCTGTCTGCTATTTGTAGAGAAGTACAAGTAAATCTACAAATTGTTTAATGTATAAAGTGGTGACAACTCCTTTCCAAGCCAAGCATTCCTTGCTTTGTGCTTGTTCTTTAATCAAAAGCAGACAAGCATGTGATGTTTTCCAAGTTTAGGCATTGTAAAAGACTGCTGCTGCTTCTCTCAGCATATGCTTCATATTTGGAGTCATGGGGTGGCCTTCTTTTTTGTGTTGAGAATTACAGGAATTTTAATTATATCCCTAGACCATACCCCTTTGTGCTCTTCTACTCAAAATTCAATGGTGTAGAGATGTGTGTGGATGCCCGTACTTTCGGTAATGATGCTCGGTTCATCAGAAGATCATGTACACCAAATGCAGAGGTAAGATATCTGTAGCAACTTCCCTTTGACTGGAACCATCAAATGACAAGCTTACTGAAGAAACAGTGTGAAAACTTCACTCAGATAAAGGTCTGTAGATAATAGTCGTGATATTTCATTGTGAGAGGTGAAAAACAAAAGTAATGGTGCTTTTATACTGAGAAAATGGGAGCAAGGAAAGAATTTTCTTTAGAGAAGGCAGAAATAGAAAAGAGCAAGTTAGCATTTGCTAAGGAGAAAGCTAGACTGAATAAGAAAATCAAGTGTAGTTGTATTAAAGAAATTGCCATACGGTGTAAGTAGATGTCATCAGGCCTAACTAAGTTATTTGGTTGTAGCTTCTTTAGATTTTAGTAAGTAGTGTTCTATGAGAGGATCTAGGCATTTCTAGAATTCATTACTCAGAGCAGCCACATCAAATAAAGCAAGAAAATCCACAGAGCTTTACTTACTGGCTAAGGAATTTTAATTCTCTGGTGGAGCTAGAAACAGCTATAAGATGTGAAAGCGGCTGGGCGCGGTGGCTCATGCCTGTAATCCCAGCACTTTGGAAGGCTGAGGCGGGCAGATCACAAGGTCAGGAGTTCGAGACCAGCCTGGCCAACATGGTGAAACCCCGTCTCTACTAAAAAAAAAAAAATACAAAAATCAACTGGGCATGGTGGCATGTGCCTGTATTCCCAGCTACTCAAGACGCTGACACAGGAGAATTGCTTGAACCCGGGAGGCAGAGGTTGCGGTGAGCCAAGATCGCGCCTCTCCACTCCAGCCTGAGCAACAGAGCAAGACTTCATCTCCAAAAAAAAAAAAAAAGATGTGAAAGTAGAGATTTTTACCCTGATTTCTAACATCTCAAGGTTTCTCCACGTATTTCAAGAAGTATCATAAATTTTCAAGCCAGTACAGTATAATAGTTTCAGATAAAAAGATTGAGTTAAATAAAGATTACCATAACTCTAAAATGGAAAGTATGGTTTTTTTCTGTTACGGAAAGTTCATGGTCTTTGTGAAAAATCCAACCAGATGCCTTTTCACACAGGTGCGACACATGATTGCAGATGGGATGATTCACCTGTGCATCTATGCTGTGTCTGCCATCACCAAGGATGCTGAGGTCACCATAGCATTTGATTATGAGTATAGTAACTGGTAAGATCTCAAAAACCTTTCCTAACATGAATGTCCTTGTCTTATATATTAAGCTGTTCACTCTAGTCTGCTTTGTTTCTTGCCTTTTCCTTTGTTTACTTAATCTTTCCATGACTAATGAGTTTTCTGCCTAGAAATTGTAAAGGAAAAGACAAGATTTTTTTTTTTAGAGATATGGATACCTTACATGATACTGCTCACAAGTTTCCTGACAAAAGTATTTTCACTTACGCCTTTTTAGCAAGAATAGCAAAATGGATATATATGTATGAGACACTCCTGGAAATTATAATAGCATCCTGTTGTTATGCACTGAGTACTTATGTCAGGGACCATGTAAAATGGGAATTTAGGCCAGGCACAGCGGCTCATGCCTGTAATCCCAGCACTTCGGAAGGCTGAGGTGGGCGGATCACGAGGTCAGGAGATCAAGACCTTCCTGGCCAACAATGAAACCTTGTCTCTACTAAAAATACAAAAATTAGCCAGGCGTGGTGGCACGTGCCTGTAGTCCCAGCCACTCGAGAGGCTGAGGCAGGAGAATCACTTGAACCTGGGAGACAGAGGCTGTAGTGAGCCAAGATCGCGCCACTGCACTCCAACCTGGCAACAGAGGGAGACTCCATTTAAAAAAAAAAATAGAATTTAATGTGTTATCTCTACTTTAAATTTGTCAATTATACCCTTATAAAGCTAGGAGTGGGATTTAAAGATCCACCCTATCCACAGAAACCATGTTATCTAGCTGTATATGACAGTGCAGAAAACCATAAATGGCAATTCATACATGAATATGTGGTGGATTTTATGAAGTATATGCTTTTTGTTCCTTGGTCATTTGGGGCAAAATAGAGGTTATGTGGTAACGTGATGTTTGGCCCAGGTATAAGAAAAAAGATGTTCTGCTTAATTCATCAAGGAAAATGAAAAGAAAAGGTTTTAAGAAGTAGGGAATTAGTAGGTAAAAGTGAGGACATGTAATGGTGGGCACAAGATGAGTATGGCCACATCAGCCTTTATCCTTGATTCATTGCCTACTAAATAGCTAATAAACCACTGGGGGGATTGGATTTAGGGAGGGTTTTCTTTTTTTTCCCACTGACCATGGAGTAGAATTGGGGTTACAGAGAGAAAGACAGAATATTGAAAGTGTTACGTCAGGCGCGGTGACTCATACCTGTAATCCCAGCACTTTGGGAGGCTAAGGCTCGAGGATCACTTGAGCCCAGGAGTTCGAGACCAGCCTCGACAAAAAGGCAAAACCCCATCTCTGCCGAAAATAAAAAAAATTAGCTGGGCACGTAGTTCCAGCTACTCAGGAGGCTGAGGTAATAGGATCACTTGAGCCCAGGAAGCAGAGGTTACAGTGAGCTGTGATGCACCACTGCACTCCAGCCTGGATGACAAAGTGAGACTCCATCTTCGATAAAAAGAAAAACAAAAGTATAGGACTCTCTGATTTCTCTGTTTAACTTATTCAGAGATCGTATCAGAGGAAATTACTGTGCTGATATTTTGAGAGGGTAAATGGATAATGTAACTGAATTTCAAGGGTACTGAAACAGGCATTTTGGTTGTTTCTTTGGAGCAGTAATTATAAAGTGGACTGTGCCTGTCACAAGGGAAACCGGAATTGTCCTATACAAAAAAGGAATCCTAATGCTACAGAACTGCCACTCCCACCACCTCCTCCAAGCCTGCCCACCATTGGAGCAGAGACTAGACGTAGAAAAGCACGACGGAAAGAGCTAGAGATGGAGCAGCAGAATGAGGCTCCAGAGGAGAATAATGACCAGCAATCACAAGAAGTTCCAGAAAAAGTAACTGTATCCAGTGATCATGAGGTAATCGCCCCTGGTCAAATGATGATGCTATGTCATCAGTCCTCTGAAGGAAGAGGAACCTGAGTTGCCACATGGTTTAAGTAGGGGAGCTATAGTAACACTTAATGCCCTTTATATCAATGTGGGTGTATTGTGTTCATTCATATCTTTCTGTTTTACAAAGTCAAAAACATCCTTTGCTGGTTTTGTACCAGAGAATAGGGGTTATCATTTATGTTTACTATGTGGCCTCACATGAGTTAACACTTGAAAGCATTAGAGATTGTTATAGAGAGTTTTAAGCTACCAGAATAAAACAGATTGATTTTTTCTCAGAGCTTGAGTACAGCTGAATATTGCCTCTATCTTAAAGGAAGTAGACAATCCAGAAGAAAAACCAGAAGAAGAGAAAGAAGAGGTTATAGATGACCAGGAGAACCTAGCTCATAGCAGGAGGGTGAGTACTGTGACATTCCTTTGCTCCTTCTTATTCCTGCTACCTCCATCATGTTCTTCTGTTCTCTTAACTTTGTATCATCTCATTGATTTGACCTGGAGGTTATAATTTGGGCTTTTTCATAATAAAGATTTTATTATAATTCTTTGATTTATTTTTCTTTATACACACAGTAGTTTTCTAGTGATTATTATCTAGTGATGGTTTTAAGAAGTTTTTTTTATAACAGTCTGGTTTCCGAAAAATTGGCTAGTCAGAATCAAAATGTATTATAGTTGGTTTGCTCTGAATTAGGAGTTTTCTAGGTTTGTGTGAGTTTTGAATTTTTTTTAAACCCTTTTAGTCATATGAACTAAAATTTTCTGCTTTTATGCTGAAACCAATCCTGTGTGTTTATGACCCTGATTTGATGAGTGTTTTGTTTTGTTTTGTTTTTTAAGACCGAGTCTTGCTTTTTCGCCAGGCTGGAGTGCAGTGGCGCAATCTCAGCTCACCGCAACCCCTGCCTCCCAGGTTCAAGCGGTTCCCTTGCCTCAGCCTCCCAAGTAGCTGGGATTGCAGGCATGTGCCACCGTACCTGGCTAATTTTTTGTATTGTAGTGGAGATGGAGTTTCACCATGTTGGCCAAGACGGTCTCAATCTCCTGACCTCGTGATCTTCCCACCTCGGAATTATAGACATGAGCCACCGCACCCATCCCAAAGTACTGGGATTATAGACATGAGCCACCGCACCCATCCTGTTTTCGTAGTAAAAAGTTTCAAAATAATTGACCCTTTTTGAAAAGTTTATGTTTGACTTTGCCTTTATTTACAACTCTTCCCCACATTTAAAATGAAATATTTTATTTTTAGTTTTTTCTTGTGTTTTCCAAGTTACATGTGTCATCTTACCGGTAGTTAAATGAATTTCTATAAATTTCCATTAAAAATACTTTTATAAAGGCTGTCCCCTCGTCCTCATTTGAAGCTTTCTTCTACACCAATACTATTTCTTTCTAGACCAGGGAAGATAGAAAAGTAGAAGCCATCATGCATGCTTTTGAAAACTTAGAGAAAAGAAAGAAGCGGCGAGATCAGCCTTTGGAACAGAGCAACTCTGATGTAGAGATTAATACAACCACTTCAGAGACTCCTGTTGGTGAAGAAACAAAAACTGAAGCCCCTGAATCTGAAGTTAGCAACTCTGCTTCAAATGTTACCATCCCAAGCACCCCACAGAGTGTTGGTGTGAATACCCGGAGGTCTTCCCAAGCAGGGGTAAGAGTTGAAAAGACTTCAGAGCTTAGACATCCTTACCTTTGCTAATGTCAATTACCTAATTTTTGGAATTTTTAAAATCAGTTTTTTCACCTTCGCTCTATCACAATAAATAAGGCCATTAACTGTGTAACTGGAACCATTTCATTGGCCTATTTTATAAATGCTTATTAGAAATAGAAATAACCCAAACGTTTGTCCCTAGCCTCTTTAGCTCATTTAAGTGTATACATTTTTGCATTTAAGAATTACTTTCTTTTTTTTTTTTTTTTTTTTTTTTTTTTGAGATGGAGTCTCGCACTGTCACCCAGGCTGGAGTGCAGTGGTGCGATCTCGGCTCACTGCAAGCTCCGCCTCCTGGGTTGACACCATTCTCCTGCCTCAGCCTCCCGAGTAGCTGGGACTACAGGCGCTCACCAGTACGCTCAGCTAATTTTTTTGTATTTTTAGTAGACACGGAGTTTCACCGTGTTAGCCAGGATGGTCTTGATCTCCTGACCTTGTGATCCACCCGTCTTAGCCTCCCAAAGTGCTGGGATTACAGGCGTGAGCCACAGCGCCTGGCCAAGAATTACATTTTAAATTAGTGTTTCTAATCCTTATAGTTTTCATCAGTAGACATTCTGAATGCTTAACGTGAATAGGAAACTAGACTGTTTGCTGATAAAACATTTTTGGTAAACATCTGACCCTACTATTGCTACAGGATATTGCTGCAGAAAAACCAGTCCCCAGGCCACCTCCAGCAAAGCCTTCTAGGCCCCGGCCGAAGAGTCGAATTTCTCGGTACAGGACCAGTTCAGCCCAAAGACTAAAGCGTCAGAAACAGGCCAATGCACAGCAGGCAGAATTGTCACAAGCTGCCTTAGAAGAGGGAGGAAGTAACAGTTTAGTAACTCCTACTGAAGCTGGAAGTATAGACAGTTCAGGAGAAAACAGGCCATTAACAGGGTCTGACCCAACTGTGGTGTCAATTACTGGATCCCATGTCAACCGTGCTGCATCTAAATACCCCAAAACCAAAAAGGTGAGTCACAAATACATCTTTTATAAGTCCAGTCTGGCAAGGGCTGTCTTAGTGAAATGAGAGGACCTATAATCCCCAGAAGAAACTAATCTCAATATTATTAGATTGAAAGTTCTAAAATGCTTTGACACAAAAGGCTGGAGCCATCCTGCTACCTGTTTCCTTATTTTTAGTCAGCTTAAATCATTGATAGGTGAAATTATTCCTCTCTTAGTGGACGTGGAGAGGGTGAAGGAAGATATCCTTGTGTTCTGGTTGCCCAATTCATACTGTAGCTGCTGCATCTCCCTCTGTCCTAGTTTCTAGATGACATTTGTCTTTATGAACTACACTGCTACCTGTTGATTTATAAATTAATGATCTCTTTTTTACGTTAGTATCTAGTTACAGAATGGTTGAATGACAAAGCAGAGAAGCAAGAGTGCCCTGTTGAGTGCCCTTTACGTATCACGACGGATCCAACTGTACTGGCAACGACCCTAAACATGTTACCAGGTCTTATCCATTCCCCATTAATTTGCACCACCCCCAAACACTACATTCGCTTTGGCTCACCCTTCATCCCTGAGAGACGTCGAAGGCCCCTTCTGCCTGATGGCACATTCAGCTCCTGTAAGAAGGTATGTCTGTGTTTTTGTGTGTGTGTTGTGTTTGTGTGTGTGTGCTTTTTTTTTTTAAGCCTAAGATTCCTGTCATCATGACATAAATAACATGTTCTGTAATAGCCACTCTGCCCATGTGAGTTTATAATGAATTAGTTGTTCAGCCATAAATACTGATTCTTCAAGAGTCTGTGAGACTATGGTGGAATGAATATACTGCATTTTTGGTGCTCAGATTTGTGACTGGTCACTGATGTCTCTTCTGAGAACCTTTGAGGTTCCTGAGGGAGAGCACACAGCAGTGGATGACTGGGTAGGGATGGATATATTTTGTGTGTGCTCTTGTAGTATGGGTTAACATGTCCATTTATGATGATTGTGTAAGATTAGGCCCTGGGTCCTCTAGAACACTGTTGCATAAATGAAAAGTAATTAAATTGTGTTTTGAATCAATTGAACCACTATTATCCACTATCATCACTTGAAGGAAATTAGAGGAAAAATCCTATTGTAATTGGCATAATTCCTGTTCCTTGATCAAATGACAAGTCGGACTGTTTATTCCCAGAGAATATGGAATCTACCCTAAAAGACTGTCTCTCCCTCTCTGTTTCTGCCTCTTTCTCCTCTTTCTAGTTACTTACTGTTTTTGGATCTAGTGGCAGTAGCGTTTGGTGTTGTTTTGGAATGCTCTTTCTTAATTCCCAGAAGCCCTGCATATTTTCCAAAGGTGTCTCTTAGGAATAGATCACTCCCTCAGATCTATGATGTTGTTTTCCATGTTTCTAGAAGTGTAGGACACCCTTTCATTTGGTCTTCCTTTGAGGTAGAGTCTGTTCCCTGGAACACCCTTTTCTCTTATCCTCAGATCTGGATTCAGGCTGCCTTCCTCAGTGTCTGCCATTGCCCTCCTCCACTGGCATCACGTACATGAGGATGCTGCATATAGATTATTTGATGTGATGAAGTCTCCAACTCCAGGCAGGTCTTCCCTGACTCCTCCAAACTTAAAGCTTTTCTCTTTCCCCAAAGAACAGAAATTATTTCTCGGGGGGAGAGGGGCATGAAAGATGAGCCAAAGTGGTGTGGGATATGGAGGGGAGGAGGGCAATAGGAATCTGCAAAAAGGAAGGACGCTACTGCTGAATGAGCAGCACATTGCAGAAAGTCTTTTCCTAACTGCACATCTTACCTAAGTATTGGAATCACTCATTGGTTTGTTCGGGGAAACCCTAGTAGAAGAATTCCTAAAGAACTGTTGAAGCGTCTTACCAAGCCAGGTCATACAATCTCCTATTTTAGTCCTTTTAGGAGTGTAGGTGATTATTTAGTACAGATTAGTAATGAAATCTGAGCTGCAAATAATATGAACTAGGCTCTTGAATTGAAATTCCTTCTTGATAATTCTAATGCTGGGTTGCAGTCTTTCTGTTTCCATCTTTTCCAACTAGCAGAGACTTATAAAAACCAAAAACATGTGTCTAGGACCGTAACTTCAAATCTGGTAGAAAATGCATTTCTTTAAGCTTTTTTAACCTGGTTCTGCTTTTATACTTCTATCTATAGCACATCCTTAAAATTCTACAGACAACAGATAGAAATTCCATTTAACACAACTCTGTGTTATATTCTCCAAATGTATCTGACTATCCTTAATCTCATTTATACAGGCTCTACTCAAGCACTTTTATCTATGTGTCATGGTTAGATAAGGTTCTTTAGGAAGAGTTTAGGCTGCATACACAGGATTTTCATAACAAGACTATTGCCGGGCGCGGTGGCTCAAGCCTGTAATCCCAGCACTTTGGGAGGCTGAGGCGGGCGGATCACGAGGTCAGGAGATTGAGGCCATCCTGGCTAACACGGTGAAACCCCGTCTCTACTAAAAAATACAAAAAACTAGCCGGGCGAGGTGGCGGCGCCTGTAGTCCCAGCTACTCGGGAGGCTGAGGCAGGAGAATGGCGTAAACCCGGGAGGCGGAGCTTGCAGTGAGCTGAGATCCGGCCACCGCACTCCAGCCTGGGCGACAGAGCCAGACTCCGTCTCAAAAAAAAAATTAAAAAATTATCATAACAAGACTATTTAAATAGGGTCTTTAAAAACTGTTTAAGTTTAAATCATTGCTTTATTGTGTGCTGTTCACATATAAAGAGTCTATTTTTTAAAATACAGCTTTTTATGAGGCAAAATACAATGAAATTGAATGTCTTAGCTAGAATTGAACTTGGCTTTATGGCAGTGAAGAAGAGTTCTTAGATTGGTTAAAGAGGTCTTATCTAATGCAGAACCTAAGAACATTTTCATTATTCAACAAAATTATAATAAAATTCAGAAAATCCCTCAGAATATAAGTTAATCAGATAGGTGAGAAAAACAGCCCTCTATGGGATTATTTAGAACAATGTATATTTCTAATAGGGTCATAGGCTCACTGTTTCATATCTCACTAAAGAGGTGAGGGCCTGGCCTCGTAAGTTAAAAACTTACCAGTGTAGGACAAATTAAAGTTGTATCTGTATGGTTGTACTCAGATTCTTATACTGTTTATTTTTATTTTTATTTTTATCATTATTATTTTGCTACTTCTGAAAAGAGGAGGAATTCAAGTATTTGACAGACCATTTTATGATATCCCTGGAGTTTCTAAATTGAATCATAGTTTTTAAAAAGCATTTTATAGTATATCATTTTTTAGATCCTCAGCTGTTATTTTAAAAACATTTATAAGTGGCCAACAAGGCTTTCGGTAGTGTTTTACCTTGTTCTCTCTAAACTCCTCTTCTAAACACAATGTGTATAGGGCATTTGGTCTCCAGACTTCTTAGAAAAACCATTCTGACTGATAATGAAACACTGCTTTACATTCATATTAATATTTCATTTTATACACTGGAGCATTATCTGTAAATCTCCAAACATAACATTGAAATTTAGTTGAACCAGGACTCGTTGAAAACCTGCTGAGTGTTCAGTCTTGTACTATAAGCTTTCTTCACGTATATTGTCTCACTTACTATTCATGAAATTGGAATCATTTTCCTAAATTTATATATCCAGAAGCTTTGTCTCAGAAATGTTTGGTAACTTGCCCAAAGTGAGGCAGCTAGTGACAAGAGCCAAATTTCTTTTGGTTGGGGGTAGTGAGGGCTCACAGGGTCTCACTGTTGTCCAGGCTGGAGTGCAGTAGCATCATCACAGACTCACTGCAGCCTTGACCTCCTGGGCTCAAGTGGTCCTCCTACCTCAGCCTCCCGTGTAGCTGGGACCACAGGCACACCCATATGCCTGGCTAATATTCATATTTTTTGGAGCGACAGGGTTTTGCTATGTTGCCTAGGCTGATCTCAAACTCTTGAGCTCAAGGAGTCTGCCCACCTTGGCCTCCCATTCTGCTGGGATTACAGATATGAGTCACTGAGCCCAGCCTTACAGCCAAGTGTCAAGCCAGGGCTTTTAGACTCCAAAACCTGTATTACTTCCTTGTTCTTTCCCCATAATAATGAGACTTTTAAAACATTTATCCGTCTTTGAGCCTTCCAGAAAACTCTTTTGCAATATACTTTAATACAGAGTTTCAGAGAAGGGAGAAATGTTCTTTTGATTTTAACAACTTGCTGAGTAGCTGCATTTAAAATTAACTTATTATCCATGAGGTTAATTGTATCTTGTTAGATACAAACAAATGTCCATGTTCCTTTTTTATATGAGTCCTGAAATATTGTAAAATTATACAACAGAACCTGAAGAAGTAGGTTTGATCGTATTTGCTGTGTTTCACCTCATAGCTAACCATGGTAGCATCTTTCTTCTAGAATACTCCTGGTTTTATGTTCCCTTTTTGTAGTCATCAGATCCAGAATGTAAATTCTTTTATGAGTACATCTACTAGACCCTGAAATATTAAAAAATTAGTCATATAGGAAAGCTCACTGACCCCAAATGAGTCTGTTTTCTGCTTTGAAAAGAAAAACTTAAAGGTGGCTATAACAAAAGATTTTTCACTCCTGAGCCTAATTTTTCCATTTATAAAATGAGTGCTTTGGACAAGATGACTTCTAAGTTCTCTTCTAAGCTTTAAGGCTTATATGTTTGGTTCTGACAATTCATCTTTACATCAATATTCTGTATCTAAGAGAGTTCGTTCTTGGGGGTTTTTGATTTTGTTTTTGTGTTTGCTTTTCAGAGACCTGGTTGTATCCTAAAATGTTTATGTGATGAATTCAAATTACCATTGAGAGCTCTTTTTTATACACTTGTTCACTCTTCCTTCCAAATGTTTACAGTATTAGTTTTGCTTTCATTTGGCCAGCCACAATGACATTTGTATGGTGTAAGTTTGTTTTTTTTTTGTTTTTTTTTGTTTTTTTGGTAAAATTTTTGTGGATTATTTCCTAGGTTTCTAAGAGGGAAAATCTATAAGAATTGCTCTCTTTGGTGAAGAGAATATTTACTTACCTGTAATACATGTTCTCTAAAGGTATAAATTATAATAATTCACCTTTGCTCTTCCTGTTGGGGGAGGGTCTTACTCAGAAATTGATGTTTATCAAAATTCGATCTGTCTTATGTCAGGGCAGGAGAGCCACAGAGTGGTGAGCAACCTACAACTGTATATCTTAAGAGAACACAATTACAGGTAAGAAATTTTCTGTCTTCCACAGGATGCATAATCTTACTATCCTAATCTTTGCAGGCTTACTATCTCGTCTAAATTTATTTCTCGTCAATTTATTATTCTAATCTTTACTACCAAAAACTTGTGACTGATAGGTCTTCTTTTTGACTTTTTCCCTTTTTTTATGTCTACAGAAGTTCATTTTGTGATTTGCATTACTCATGCATAATTTAACCAAACTACTTGTTGGAGAGGGGATCCCATAGATTATTTCATTTGAGATAAACCTTTTGGTACCTGTAGTGAAGAGCTGTTAATCCTCATCCAAAGTCTTCCTATGAATCTTTTTTATTACCTCTTCACTTGTCTCCAGCACAGGGCAGACAACTTTTAAGAGATCTTTATCTTCCTTCTAGGCACTTATTTTATGTGTTAGTTTTATTCTATACGATCAGAGTCTCTCCTAAATAAATGTTAAGATTTCTTCCCAAGTCTTGCCGTTTTACACCATCCCAAACAGTATGAAAGATGTAATCATTTTTTATTGGTTTTTGTCTTTTGATGGGATCTCATTATATGTAATCCAGTTTTCCTCAATTCTGTCAGTTAAAAGGAATTGATAGGACAATGTTCCAATATGCTGAGACACAAGACAATAAAATGCTTGACTGTGTAACTGAATTAGTGTGTTGAATTGTATCACTCACCAGTTGATGTACATTTAAAACAGGTTTACTAAATGGTTTTAAATAATTATTGATAATTCTCTGGTTCTTTTCCAATTATAGCGCTGGATAAAACAAGCCTTAGAAGAAGGAATGACTCAAACATCATCTGTACCCCAAGAGACTAGAACTCAGCACCTATACCAAAGTAATGAGAATAGTAGCTCTTCCAGTATCTGCAAAGACAACGCAGGTACGTATATAAAACCTTTCTGAATATATGACCAATGATTGTTTCAGGTCTGCATAAAAAATTTCAGTATGAGTACTTCTGATAACAAAAAGAAATGGCATGTTTTCTAAATAGTTACTTTACATCTGTCTTTACAGAGGAAGAGAGAGATCTCAAGTCAGGGATCAGTTTTCCCAGGACGACAAAGAAGGACTAGACAGTGTACAGATAACAGCAGAAATGGTTATAAAAAAGGTTAGATACATTTAAAGTAGTAAGTTTAGGAAATTTATATTCATATTTATAAGATGGGGAAAGGGCAAGAAAGTGGTGGAACACTAATGTTCAGGAAAGAATTAAAATTCTAAGTGATTAAGTTGGGTGGGACATGGTTGAGGGAGCAGGGGATGAATGAAATAAGTGAGAAATTATTATCAATTGATTGTTTTCAAAGGGGCTTATATAATTAGCATACAATTTTTAAAAGAACAGCTGGGCGCTGTGGCTCGCACCTGTAATCCCAGCACTTTGGGAGGCCAAGATGGGAGGCTCCCCTGAGGTCAGGAGTTTGAGACCAACCTGGCCAACATGGTGAAACCCCGTCTCTACCAAAAATACAAAAATTAGCTGGGTGTGGTGGCAGGTGCCTGTAATCCCTCCCTAAAGCTACTCGGGAGGCTGAGGCAGTGGAGAATTGCTTGAACCCAGGAGGTGGAGGTTACAGTGAGCCGAGATCATGCCACTGCACTCCACCCTAGGCGACCAGAACAAAACTCCGTCTCAAAAACAAAAAAAATTTCAGACAGCTTTAAATCTAAAGTCCTTGTGCATTTTTAAACTAGATGTCAATGAAAAATCATCTGGTCCATTGGTTTTCACAGTGACTTGCAAAGGATCTAATTGAAAGCACTTGTGATATCTTAATGTATTTTGTGACAATCTTTTTACCACAGTTTCTCCTGCAACTATCAGCTTAATTGAAAAGTTCTTTGTGATTTTCATAACTTTGTCTCTAAATCAGTTTTTTAAATATTAGACAGTCAAAATACCAAAGTAAATTAGATGCTAAAGCAACCTTTCAGGTTGCAACAAACAGAATATTTCAGATTTTCATTAAAAAACCACCTCATTGTTCCTGTTTACCAACATGCTGAATAAATGTAATGAACTTGAATTTAATTAGATAATTTTTTAATAGCAGATATTGCAACTAAAATCAGAACTTTTATTAAAGTTCTTATTTCATTTGGATTTTACTTCTTTTTAGATTTTATTTCGGAAAATGTGAATTGCCTTTTTTTTTTTTTTTTTTTTGAGATGGAGAATCAAGCAATTCTCCCTGCCTCAGCCTCCCAAGTAACTGGGATTATAGGCACCCGCCTGCTCACCCGGCAAATTTTTGTATTTTGAGTAGGGACGGGTTTCACCATGTTGGCCAGGCTAGTCTTGAACTCCTGACGTCAGGTGATCCGCCCACCTCGGCTTCCCAAAGTGCTGGGATTACAGGCATGAGCCACCACGCCCGGCTGTGAATTGCCGTTTTTTAAATTATGGATTTGGTTTATTCTTCTGTCTCTAGATTAGATTATACCTCATAAGTTACCACCTGTGTATCAGGATAATAAAATTCCATTTATCTGAAGGATAAATTATACTGTTTATTTAAAATATTTTCTTCTGGTATTCACCAAAGATTAGGGAGATTTAGTCAAATAAGATACTATAAAGAAATCTTGGTACCAGATTTCCATTTATATTATTTCTTTTTTAACAGCTTTTAAGGTGTAGTAAGAGTATAACTTAGCTGAAATAGACTATCATGTTTGTGTATCTTTATGGTGTGTATGTTAATGCATGTGTATAGTTAAGGTCGGGAACAGGAGATTGTATAGCAGTTCACATCCTGACTAGCAAAGGATTATAGGAAAAGTGTCTTTGTTATTACATGTCCTGGATAGAAGGAAATGAGGATTCCTAGTCACCAGCCTTTTTTGTTGTTGTTGAGCTTCTGCCCTAGTCTAACAGTGAGAAACATTCACAGGACACACCTTGCCCTTAAAGAGCAACATAGGAAAATATTTGATTTTAAAAATCAAGCAGCTGTCAAATGCGCAAGTTATATTGCTACAAAATTAGCATAAATTCTGAGGAATTATTTTTATTTGTTGGCTCTTTTGTTTTTGTTTTTGTTTTTTGTTTTTTTTTCAAGAATACCAAAGAGATATTAAGAAAGGAGAAAGGATTTCTATAATAGAGAGAATCAAACAGACCTTTATTTGAAAACCAGCTGTCCCCTTTACTAACTATATCATGTTACTAAAAGTCTCTGAGGCCAGGCGTGGTGGCTTACATCTGTAATCCTAGCACTTTGGGAGGCCAAGGCAGGCGGATCATCTGAGGTCAGGAGTTCGAGACCAGCCTGGCCAACATGGTAAAACTCTGTTTCTACTAAAAATACAAAAATTAGCTGGGCCTGGTCACGCACCTGTAATCCCAGCTATTCGGGAGGCTGAGGCAGGAGAATTGCTTGAACCCAGGAGGCAGAGGTTGCAGTGAGACGAGATTGCACCACTGCACTCCAGCCTGGGCGACAGAGGGAGATTCTGTCTTTAGAAAAAAAAAAAAAAGTCTCTGAGCCTCATCTGTAAAATGGGAATAGCGATACCTGCTTTATAGGACTAACATTAGAATGAATAATGTATATAAAGTTCTCAGTTTAGTATCAGGCCCGTAAGAGTAATTATTATTCTAAACAGAATACTCTCTCGTAGAGTATTTGTGTATTAATAAATACATTAAAGATTCTGGCCGGGCATGGAGGCTCACGCCTGTAATCCCAGCACTTTGGGAGGCTGAGGCAGGCAGATCACGAGGTCAAAAGATTGAGACCATCCTGGCCAACATGGTGAAACCTCGTATCTACTAAAAATACAAAAAAATTAGCTGGGCGTGGTGGCGTGCACCTGCAGTCCCAGCTACTCAGGAGACTGAGGCAGGAGTATCGCTTGAACCTGGGAGGCAGAAGTTGCAGTGAGCCAAGATCATGCCACTGCACTCCAGCCTGGCAGTAGAGTGAGACTCCGTCTCAAAAATAAATAAATAAATACATACATACATACATACATACATACATACATTAAAGATTCTAAGTTCCTAAAAGCTGAAACTTTATAGAAATAAAAGTTATTATCAAAGTAGGGCAGGGGCATGATGTTCGTTATTTGTAAATGCTGTGGGTGTATTCCTAGAAGAGCCTAAATAATCATCTGAAAAACTTAGAATTAATAGTAAGAGTTTAGGCCAGGCGTGGTGGCTCACACCTGTAATCCCAGCACTTTGGGAGGCTGAGACGGGTGGATCACGAGGTCAGGAGATCAAGACCATCCTGGCTAACACGGTGAAACCCGTCTCTACTAAAAATACAAAAAATTAGCTCTGCGTGGTGGCGGGTACCTGTAGTCCCAGCTACTCGAGAGGCTGAGGCAGGAGAATAGTGTGAACCCAGGAGGTGGAGCTTGCAGTGAGCCGAGATCATGCCACTGCACTTCCGCTTGGGTGACAGAGCAAGACTCTGTCTCAAAAAAAAAAAAAATTTTTTTTTATAATAATGAGTTTATTAATATTACTGGATAGAAGAGTAAATATATAAAAAGTATAAATATATTTTTTAAAATCATTTACATACTAAGAAAGTAAATGAATACCAATTTTTTTGTTACCAAATTTAACAAAACTAAGAAACTGCCTAGGAATAACCTTAGTTGGATATATGGAGTAAATTGTTACTGAGAAATATTTTTAAAGTCTGAGGAAATTGAAATTTCTTTTTTACTTTTTCTTTTTTTTTCATGAAACATGTGAACGTTTGATAAATTTCATGTTCATTATGGAAAGATTATCTATTTGTGTATATATATATTTCTTTCTCTCTCTCTCTCTTAGTTCCCATGAAACGGCCTTGTTTTTGGAGTTTGATTAAATGATTCTGAAGTCTACCTTTTAAAAAATAAGAAAAAATTGAAAAAATAATAATGAAGTACTTTCTCTTGAGGTGTAAGACTAGCTTCTAGTATGAAGCTAATAGTTAAATTTAGTATAATATTGATGCAAGAATGGATGTATATATGGAACAAAATAGTCAGAACAGGCCTAAATATAAATGTAAAAGTTGGTAAATTGTCGTGGAATTTTTACTTAGGAGATTGAAAAAGAATTAGATTCTAGCTGGACTGTCAGTGGCACATGCCTGTGACTCTCAACTACTTTGGAGACTGAGGTAGGAGGATCACTCAAGCCCAGGAGTCAGGTTAGGCCTGGGCCACACAGCAGGACCCTGTCTTTAAAAAAACAAGGTCCTTTGCCAAAGAAAGTTCTAGGCACGTTCAAATATATATGTATATTTTTTAATTCAAACTTGGGCCTGGCATGGTGACTCTCACCTGCAATTTCCAGCTCTTTGGGATGCCTAGACACAAGGTTCACTTGAAACCAGGAATTTGAGACCAGCCTGGGCAACAGAGAGAGACCCACATCTCTACAAAAAATAAAAATTAGCCAGGCATGATGGTGTGTTGCCTGTAGCCTTAGAGAGGCTGAGGTAGGAGGGTGGCTTGAGCCCAGGAATTTGAGGCTGCAGTGAGGTGTGATAATGCCACTGCATTCCAGCCTGAATGACAGCAAGACATCTATCTCTAAAAATAATAAATAATTCAATCTGTATTAACCATGTTTTTGTGTCTGTCCTGCCTCTGAATTAATAGAGGATTAATACATTGGGGAAAGGATTTGCAGTAAAACTGACAGGAGAGCCCTGCTAGCAATTTGATAAGATTTATCGTGTACATTAAAAATATTCATAATCCTTAACCTAGTAGTCATTCCTTTGTTCTGCTTGCTATGTTTCCTACAGAAATAGACACAGAAACCAAAATTTATATATAAGGTTGGTGCAAAAGTAATTGCGGTTTTGGACTATTAATTTTAAATCACTTTAACTAGGCTCAGGCATATCTTTATTAATCAAAATAGGAACCACTGCAATCAACACATTTTTGCCAATGAGAAATAAGTTTGTTTATTCCTGTAGCATAAAAATCCATGCTTCAGGATTCGACAAACTCTTGGAAAATATTTTCTGCATCCTGCTGGTTGTGGAAACACCTGCCCTGCAAAAAATTGTCAGATGCTTGAAGTGGTACTTAGTTGGCGAGAGGTCAGGTAAACCTGGTGGGTGAGACAAAACTTTGTAGTCAGATTTGTTCAACAGCTTCAAAAGTTGAATGAATTGGTTGTTAGAATAACTAATTCTTAGTTATTAACAATTGCAAAAACTATAGGTTAAAAATAATCTGAATTCCAACCCCAGGAATGGTAGAATTTGTAATTTTATCTGCTTGTGCACATACTTGTAATGGAGTATCATATAGTCTTTATTGAAATTTTTATTTTTGATTCATTTTATCAAATTAACTCCCTCTGCCCTCCAAAACAGCATAGTACCACTTTTGAATTAGATTTGTGATCTTAACTAGCACCTTGAATTTGTAAGAATATTAAAAGAATAATATATGATAACTAAGGTCCTTCTAGGAATGTAAGGATAAGATAATATTTGAAAATTTAATGACATTCATTTGTTAGCAGGTCAAATGGGGGAGGAGAAGTCATAACACAGTGACTGTTACCAATTTAATGATAAAATAACATACTTACGATTTTTTAACATGTAGCTGAAAAAGTTGCCAGTTGTCATGCATCATGAAAACTAAACATCAAAATAGGCTATCAAATTATCCCACTATTACCATTACTATTTAATATAGTCTGTAATTGTTAGCCAAAGTAATTATACCTCCCTCCCCCCGCAAAAAAAAGAAAATCAACATAAGAGATGTAAGTACTGGTAAAGAGTACTAATGTGTTATCATGTAGAAATACTATTATCTACCTAGAGAATTAATTGAAAAACTGGTAGAGATTAATATAGTAACTGGATAAAAAATAAGTATGTAAACTTTTTAAATGTTAATAACATTTAGATAACAAAGGGGGAGATATGTTTTTTTCATAGTAGTGAAAAAAAAAACTAAAGAACGCTGAAGAGTAAACTTAATTAGACATGTGGTACATCTAGATGAAGAGGGACATAAATCAATATGTGAATAACAAAGATTGTGCCATGTTCCTGAGTAAGAATGCTTCTCAGATTACTCCTGAATTTCATGTAACACCAATCAGAATCCTAACCTTTTAAAAATAGTATGAGCATGGTCATTGAATGACTTCTATAGTTAGTTCATTGCTAAAATAGCTAAAACATTTTGGAGAACTAGAATAGAATAACTGGAATTGCCCAAACAATTTTAATAAAAAGTATGCTGGTGTTGAAGATAAACCCAGCATATGTAAGAATCTAATAAGATAAATATGATATTTCAAATTAATGGGAAAATTATAGTTATTCTACAATTACAGAAGATTTTGGAAGAAGGTGCTAGCTATTTGCTATAGGAAGAGAACAGATTAATTGCTACCGCATACTTAAGTATGTTCTTTTTTCCTTTTTTTTTTAATGGCAGTTTGTCAGTGTGAAATAAAATATGTTCTTTTTTAATTAAGATCTAAATTAAAAATTAAACATGGAGATAAAAGGAAAATAGGCTGGCATTTTTACAATGTCAGGGTAGGTTAGCAAAGATGTGATATCAGAAGCAGAAAATAAAGTGGTCCATTTGACTAAATAGAAACAAAACATATAGCAGAGACTTGTAAATAAAATTGAAAAGCAATCAGTAAACTGGGAAAATACATTTGTAATTTTATTGACAAGGGGTCAACATTCTTACTATTTAAAGAGCCCTTACAGATGAAGAAAAAGACCCCAACACCCCAGTAGAATGCAGGCTAAAGAACAGGAGCCAGCAGTTCTCACAGGACTAAAAATAAAGTTACTGCACATGTGTAGATATTTTTTTGATTTAATAATCCTACATGTAGCCATTTGTTCTTATAGCAAAAAATGAAAAATACTTGAATTGGTTAAATTTTGATAATACTAATGTTGTGCAGCCATTAAACCTGAACTGTAGATTTCTATTCATTATCATAAAAAAAAAGTTGACCATGTATTTCTGAGTGAAAATAGTTATTGAGTAGTGTAGGTAAGGCAAGAGTCAGTGAAGCAGTGTCTGGATAAAAATTTACCAGGATATTAGCATGCGTTTATTTGTGGATATGATTTTCAGGTTGTGTATGTGTTTATATAACCTTGGTAATTTTTTGAGTAAAGGTTAAAAAATAAATAAAAGATGGATAGATTTGACCATATAAAATTTGAAAACTATGTATGCAGGAAAAAGAGAAAAAGTGGGCAAATTATTTGGCCTTCTTTGGCCTGTAAACTTCTTAAGGGCAGACATCAGGTCTCTTGTTGAATACAGTATCATAATAAGTACTCAGTAAATATATGTTGAATGAATGCCATGTACGTTGATTTGCACATGGCAGATTTCACCTATATCTTCTAACTTTTTTCTACAACTAACTTCATCACTTAACATAATTGACTTTAGTAGTTATAGGGTTGGACCTAGCAGTACAGAGATCTTCTGAAAGATTCCGTTGTTTAAGACCCTTGAAATATTAAATATGTAAAAGTTATTCCGAATATAAGCCATGAATTACATGTTTGTTTCTGTTTTATACCTAGGCACTTTTTAAAAGAAGGAAAGAAAATTTAGTGTCTGGAACAAAAGGAAAATGTGAATATACTTCCAGTCTAGGAATATTAAAAATTCTGAGATACCAGAAAGGAAAAATACGCATCTTCAATAATTTTTTGCATTTATTCTTCCCTCTTCATCTAAACATCTCCTACCCTGGTTTAGTGCCTCATAACTCTTTGCTAACTACTGTATTAACTCCAGATGATTTCCCAGTTACTAGTCTCATACTGACCATTGCTTCCAGATAATCTTCCTGACCCAAAAATTTTCCTTGAAGGCCTGGAATAAATGTCACTCCTTCCATCCACCAAGCCTTGGGGATATACTTTATTGATTAAGAATATAGAAAGATGGGGCCAGGCGTGGTGGCTCATGCCTGTAATCCCAACACTTTGGGAGGCTCAGGTGGGTGTATCACTTGAGGTCAGGAATTCCAGACCAGCCTGGCCAACATGGCAAAATCCCGTCTCTACTAAAAATACAAAAATTAAGAATGTAGATAGATGGGAGCAAGAATACCTGTTTTGTCTCTCTCCACACATCAAGTTTCTCACCTTTAATATGGGGATGTTAATAATAGTGCTTGTTAAGGAGTTGTTAAAATTAGATATTTCACAATAAAGCACATGGCATAGTCTGTAGTATATAATAATCATTTAGAATACACCTTTTTTTTTTTAAAACTAATGCATAGCAATATGATCACCTTTCTTGATCTTACTAATATGTTCTCTTTTTGTTTTTTGCTTTTGGTTTTTTTGTTTTGTTTTGTCTTTTTGAGACAGTCTCCTCGCTCTGTCACCCAGGCTAGAGTACAGTGGTGCAGTCTCAACTCACTGCAACCTCTGCCTCCTGGGTTCAGGTGATTCTTGTGCCTCCACCTCCTGAGTAACTGGGGCTACAGGCGTCCACCACCACATCTGCCTAATCTTTTTTGTGTATTTAGTAGAAACAGGGTTTTGCTATATTGGCCAGGCTGGTCTCAAACTCCTGGTTTCAAGTGATCTGCCTGCCTCAGCCTCCCAAAATGCTGGGATTATAGGCGTGAGTCACCACACCTGGCCTTCTTTCTATTTCTTACAAATTTTAAGCCTCTTGAAAATAGACTGTATGATGACCATTTTTCCCTCCATACCTAGTTCAGTAATCTGTAGGTATTAAATAAATACATATCTTTTTAACTATAAATGAATAAAACTGTGTTTTTATTCCGAGAATCAAGTGAGAAAGGTGCTTTGGCCTAAATGGTTACTAAAATATTTAAGTGTGGTAACTTGCTTTTTAAGTGGATCTAAGAAATATAGAAAATAGGATTATTCTAGTCAAAAAAAAAAACGAATATAAACCTAATTTTTTAATGGTTGAGAGAAGTTTCTGTAGAAATCATTTCACGCTTTTTAGGTAGAAAAGGGGCTAGACATGGATCAGGAAATCATATAAGAACATTTTAGAAAGAGCTTCTGAAAAGGGACACAATATATGAGAGATGGTGAAAGGAATTTGGATTTAGCATCCCAGTACCTTTAGTTGGTGATATAGCAGTGTAGTAGAGGGTAACTTTAACACAGTAACAAAGACTTTTCAGAAACTCAATGTAAAAGAAAGAAATTTAGCAGTGGCTCAGGCCTGTAATCCTAACACTTGGGGAGTCCAAGGCGGGCAGATCACCTGAAGTCAGGAGTTCAAGACCAGCCTGGCAAACATGGTGAAACCCCATCTCTACTAAAAATACAAAAATTAGCCGGGTGTGGTGGTGCGTGCCTGTAATCCCAGCTACTCAGGAGGCTGAGGCAGTGAATTGCTTGAACCCGGGAGATGGAGGTTGCAATGAGCCAAGATAACGCCATTGCACTGCAGCCTTAGCAACAGAGCAAGACTCCGTCTCATAAATACATACATAAATGAATAAATGAAAGAATTTTATATTTTGCACTGGTAGAAATTAAATTAGAGATCAGTCACATTCGATTTACCTGGAGTTTGGGAGATAGAATGTTTTCAGAATTATTTTAAGTGTGGTAATTAAAGAGTTTCTTTGGGATTTTGGCTTGATTGGAGGAGATAACTTAATGGGATGAGGCAGAAGACAGTTAAGAGCCATTGTAGATTACAGATTAATGGCTTTACTGTAGAGCCTTAAATTAATCTGTGATTTCAAACTCTCATCCAAGCTTTGTGTTTCACAGACTTGTTGAGCCCATTAAAGAAATGGAAGTCTCGCTATCTGATGGAGCAGAATGTCACCAAGTTACTTCGGCCTCTGTCTCCAGTCACACCACCCCCTCCCAATTCAGGCTCAAAGAGCCCCCAGCTGGCCACGCCTGGCTCATCTCACCCAGGAGAAGAGGAGTGTCGAAATGGATACAGCCTCATGTTTTCACCAGTCACATCTCTTACTACTGCTAGTCGCTGCAACACTCCTCTGCAGTTTGAGGTGATTTGGGTTTGGTTGCCGGGAGTGCTGGATATGAAAATCACCATTTGTACCTTCTCATTTCAAATATAATACCATTCCAAATATTTCTTTACTATCTTCCTTCCCCATCTCAGTAAGAGAATGGAAAACCTCAGGGTCATTGTGGCCTATTACCTGGTCACCTCTCATCTTGGCAGCCCCTATACTTCCCAAAATAGGCATAGTGCTACCACAGATCCCATTCGTGTATCTTTTGCATGCAGTCCATCAGTCTCCATATATTTAGGTAGTAAGCATGCTAGATCTCCATTGTTATCTTTACTGTAAACTTTGGTCAAAATAGGCCTCTAGCTGCCTGTAGTATCTGTTAGTAACACCAGCCTGAGAGCACAGATGATATTGATTGATTGTGTCTTCGTTTCTAGGCCTTTAAATAAGTGAAGTGTCTTTCCCAGGTTGTTTGGTATTTTCATTGTGGCCTTAGTGAACAGAGATTTAGAAAACATTGGGGTATGGCTTATGGCGAATGCAGGTTTTTTCCACTCCAGGTTACTTTCCCTCTTTGTTATAATGTCTTAGGAATGAGAAGTAGACAGGAGACTAGCAACATGTATTCATGAGACAAATTTATTACCTTCACTGTGGGATTAAGTTAGAAATGTCTGCCTCAGCTGTTTCAAAAAGTGATTTTGAATCACTTTAGTGTTCAGGTTCGGATGACAGCAGGTTTCAATAGAATCCATGTATACTTTTTTAAAACACTTCATCTATTGCATGTTACTTTGATTTGTAATTAAAATGGACACTGTCTCTTCCTTCCTTCTCAGAAAAATTTGTTCTGACCACTAAACACACTCTGCTGCTCTGCCCCCTTGCTTGCACTTCTCCAGATGTGTTTTTTGAGAAAGGTGAACGTCCTAACCAATCTTACGTTTCCTATTCAGCTTTTCCAAGTATGAGGATTCAGAATACTTGGATTTTTATATGAGTAACTAAGAGGTAGCTAGCAACATTGAAAGTAGAACTATATTATGTCTTACCCTAGATCTCTACTTTTGGAGCAGACCTCTTTCTGGGTGAGGGAAAAAACCTCCTGGTTACATATGAGTTATCTAGGGAAATTACTCTTTACCGGATTCTTTATGGAATTCTTTCAGCCAGATAATACAGCAGCTGATTCAAGCCTTTCTAACTTTGTCTACTTGCAGTTGACTTTGCAGTTGGCACCTAGAGCTTTACAGTAAGGCATCATGAGAGGAATTCTCCCGGGAGGGCCTAAGATTATAGGAATAGAGTTTCATACTTTATCAATACAGACTTTATTATAAATGTGGGATTATGAAAATTAGAAGGAGGCCGGGCATGGTGGCTCATGCCTGTAATCCCAGCACTTTGGGAGGCTGAGGCGGGCAGATCACAAGGTCAGGAGATCAAGACCATCCTGGCTAACACAGTGAAACCCCATCTCTACTAATAATACGAAAAATTAGCCAGGTGTGGTGGCAAGCTACTTGGGAGGCTGAGGCAGGAGAATGGCGTGAACCCGGGAAGTGGAGGTTGCAGTGAGCCGAGATCGTGCCATTGCACTCCAGCCTGGGCAACAGAGCAAGGCTCCGTCTCATTAAAAAAAAAAAAGAGAAAATTGGAAGGTAAGTCACTTTCCAAAACAAGCAGGTTCAGCACTCAGTGTGTTCCTTATCCCTTGTAGCATTTGGGATAACTATTAAACACTGCAAATATAAAGTGGTTTTGGTTTTCTTTTTTTTTAATTGCTGGTCATTTTAATAATACAGTCCAACCTTAATGTTAGAATACCAGGAGGGAAGGAAAATACTAAATAGTAAAAGGTCCAAGGCATGGTTTCACTTGCAATTTAAGGAAAATTTACCTTTCTCATCAATAATAGAACAGATTTCACCACCCTGAACCATTCTAATCACCATTTTAATAGCCATACTCTTTGCTGTGTTCTAGTACAGAGAGGTGGAGAGGCTTTTTTGTATCAAAGGCTGTGACACATTGTGAAATATCAAAAAGGTTTCGCATGTAAAGACCAGCTTAGGCTGGGCATGGTGGCTCACAGCTGTAATCTCAGTGCTTTGGGAGGCTGAGGCAGGAGGATTGCTTGAGGCCAGGAGTTTGAGACCAGCCTGGATAACATAGTGAGACCACATTTCTCCAAAAATAAAATACAAAACTTAGCCAGGTGTGGTGGCACACACCTATAGTCCCAGCTACTTGGGAGGCTGAAGCAGGAAGATCACTTAAGACCAAGAGTTTAAGGCTGCAGTGAGCTGTTATTGTGCCACTACATGCCAACCTGGGCAGCAGTGAGATCCCATCTCTAAAAATAATTAATTAAAAGACCAGCTTAGGTCAGGTACAGTGGCACACACCTATAATCCCAGCTACTCGAGGGGCTAAGGCACAGGAATTGCTTGAGCCTGAGAGGTTGCAGTGAGCCAAGATTGCGCCATTGCATTCCAGCCTGGGCAACAGAAGGAGACTCTGTCTCATAATAAAAATAAATAAATAAATAAAAAACACTTTAGCATATTAGTTTGGGGACGGATATTTTTGAAAAGGAAAAAAGCATTCAGGAAAATGGTGAGAAGCCTTAAGTGCTAAGGGAAGAAGGTAAGAAGATAAACAGTAGAAGAGAACAACAAGATTTTCAGGAGGGGAAAGCATCTAGAAAAAACAGTGGAAGCAACATTGGGAGGGCAAGCTTAGTTAGCCTCTCCTTTCTACCAAAATAAGCCTCCCCTCCTTTTCTTGCCCTAAGAGCCATATTCCACTCACCATTTCACACATAGATGTATACCACCCACTCACTCTCCATGCCAAGTAAAATTCACAGCCAAAACCCTGCTTTGCTGAAACAGCCTCATTTCCCCTACCTCAGCATATGCCTGCCACCTAGGCCACAGTTATTCAGAGTCTACATTAGGCACCCTCTCCTTACCTCAGCCCTAGCACCCCTGAATTACTATCACACTACCACCATCACTCTCTTCACGTGTTTCCATTTACATCTTTCCATTAAGCACTCACTGCTCAGTCTCTGTTTGTTATGGGAGTGCTGCCTCACCTGAAAGTCCCAAGGTGAAATCCTACCCTCTATAGGAGGCAGGGACTTAAGTATACACATACATGCTTTTTCTGCTCTGTTGCCAAAAGTACAATGGATTTTACAAAATAACATTAATAGGGGTGGCTCAGGTCTAATTAGATTATGCTTAGAACCACCTCTAGCCTGTGAGCTAGAGATTCCATCAGTCACATTTCCTGTAACTCATTCAAGAAGAACTGGCAATCTCCCTAACCAGGTCAGTCCCCAGAACACTAACGTCTCCCCCTGGATAGCAGTGGGAGGACCTGAGGCATATAAGAGAATAAAGAAATGTGACAAGCAGAAGAGGCATTGGGTGAAGGAACAAGGTCCATCTAAGGAAGAATAAGGGGTAGGATGCCCCTCAGTAACAAATACTATAGGTTGCTAAACTCTCATCTAAAATACAAAGACGTATAACACTAAAATTTCACCAGTCTAACTCTTTCCTTATATGTGCTTGAGATGTTTACTTACAGCATGAAACATTATAACCAATTTATCCTTAAATGCTTTCAAAGATACCAGGAAGCATTTTAACAAGTCATTCTGTCCATCGAGATGAGTTCTGCAGTTAAATATTTCCCCTATGCATTCTTATTCAACTTCTCCGCCCCCCAAAAAAGTTGTGGCTAACATCTATGCTTGCTTTTATTTTTTGTTTGTTTTGTTTTGCTTCTTGACTTCGAGTAGATGAATAATAACAAGATGCTTTTCCCTCCTCTAGAACATATCCTCCCCTGAGAGTTCCCCTGCGCATAGGCCCGAGTCCCTGTCACCCGAGGTAGTTATCACACCATCTCAATCACACTTGGAGGCTGAGAGTGAGTGTTCATGAATGTGTTCCTGAGTGTGTGGGGAGGGCTGGGGATCTGAGTGAGTGGGGTGATGGGCTGGAGGGCGGCCACTCAGTCACAGTAAGTTAAAGGAGCCTTCCTGTGTGACTGTGACTACACAGGCCTGTCAATGTAGATGGAGGAAAATGAAGTAGGGGTATGTGTGAGTGTGTGGTGTGTGTATGTTTGGTGGGGTTGGTTTTTGTTGTTTGGGGGAGGGGGTGGCTGGAGTTCTATTAAAGAATAGAATCTAGAAGTCAAGATGCTGATATGTGGTAGGAGCCTTGTTAAAGAAAGGCTAATAAATAAGGAAAATTGAGTCAAAAGTTGGTAAGAGCTGTTTTTTGAGTTGGGTGGTGACTTATGCTTTGTTCTAGGGTTAATCTAACAGCTCTGTAAACCAGATGTTTTGGCCTTTGGTTGATAGATTGAGCAGCTTCTTCAGGAAGGGAAAGTCATTCTGTCTTTCAGCTTTCCTACATTTTCTCTGTAGCTCCTTACTGGGTGCACAAGGAAACCAAGTGAGTCCCTGGCTTTGTGTCATAGGCCACCATTCTGCAATGGTTAGGATATGGTTGCTATACAAGTGTTATCTCTTAGGATATCAGTAGAGTGGTTTTCTCACAAACCGTTCTGCTGTGGATATGTCAAACTCAGATTTTAGTGCTAGAGTTTCTATTATAAGCTTTCAGATGTAATAACAATGAACTCTGAATCTGTTAATACATGGGACCTTTTTTCTCTTGAAAGTTAGAGTCTCTCAGAAATATTCAACTGAACTTTAACCCCACCCCCTTCCAATAAAAAATTAGGGCATAATTCAGTGACAGTCTAGTAAGTTCTGAATCAGTAGTAGTTGATAGGTTAATGTGAAACTGAAAAAGGTTGTATTCCACTAGTATATTAGAGATTTTCTTGGTGTTTTGACTCTAGCTTGTTAGGAAAGTAAAGCTCTCTCTCCTCAGTTGTTAAAAGGTTCTAAGATAGCATAATTTGAAGACTGATATGGTATGGTATCTGGTTTTCTGGTACCATTCTTTGTAGGTGGTTAGCTGTAGTTGACCTAGCGTTGGAAGTTTGGAGGTTATGATAACCAAATAGTAGGTGGGGTTTATTTTTGGTACATTTCAGCATTTCAGAATCTGCAGTGATGAGCATTAGTGGTCTTGTGGTATGTTGACATACATTAGAGGATAAAGAAAGAAGAACTGAGTGGCCAGAAAGTTGTATGAGAAACACACCTTCTTTAACAGTGAAAGTGAGTGAAGAACTGGTTGGTTGATGTCTTTAATGCCATCCTCCTTTACTGAACCAGTAACTTAAATACTTGCCTTTCCGTCTACTTTCTTCTTCCTCCACCTTTTTCCCTCCCCCCCACCTTGCATTAATATTAATTTAGAAATTGATAACCCCAGAAGCCAGTTATCTTAAGACACCAGTCTCACCTTTGTAGTGTGCATGGGGCTAAGGTAAATTCCTTATTATACCACTTGTCCCTTAGTGTAGTACAAGGTGACTCAGCAACCTGATGAAAGGCTAAGCAGGCAAAATAGTCACATTTAGCCAATTACCTAACTTTCCCAGTATTTCCCATCCAGAAAGACTTGAAAGCAATTTGGGAAAGGCCGGGATTCTTTAGTACTCTGGCCTATATACACTGTTGCTACGTGGGACTATTACAGAATATAATGGCTTTATCTGCTCTACTTCCATCCCTCTTATCTTTCCCTGTTCACCTGTGTCCCTCTCCCCTCCTTTCTGCCCTTTGACTTTTTCCTTTCTCCCCTACCCCATGTCTCCGTTGATTTTTATTCTTTCAGCTTTGTCACCGAAAAGACCTGGATTTGGCAAAAGTAGGATACCTTGACTCCAACACTAACAGCTGTGCTGATAGACCTTCCCTACTCAACTCTGGTCATTCTGACCTGGCTCCTCATCCCTCCATCGGACCCACTTCTGAGACTGGTTTCCCAAGCAGAAGTGGAGATGGACATCAGACCCTCGTGAGAAACTCAGACCAGGCATTTCGGACAGAGTTCAACTTGATGTATGCCTACTCCCCTTTGAACGCTATGCCTCGAGCAGATGGACTGTATCGAGGTTCTCCTCTAGTGGGGGATAGGAAGCCTTTACATTTGGATGGGGGATATTGTTCGCCTGCAGAAGGATTTTCCAGCAGATATGAACATGGCTTAATGAAAGACCTCTCTCGTGGATCCTTGTCACCTGGTGGGGAAAGGGCCTGTGAAGGAGTCCCGTCTGCCCCCCAGAACCCACCACAGAGGAAAAAAGTAAGTGTTTCATGTTATATCGGTGAACTTTTCAAGAATGTTAACCAAGTAATTCAGTAGATATTCGTAAGTTTCTGCTATGTGTTCTGCACTACTCTCAAACAAGTGAGACATAGTCTCTGCCATATCCAGTGAAAGACAGGCTGTTTTAATACAACTTGGTGAGTGTTGTAAATATTCAGCAAATGTAAATGCCTGTATGTGCCATACACTTGCTAGACAGTTGAGAGGTTAGAACAGTGAAAAAGAAATTTTACCTATTATTTAGTGTGTCCCAAGTTCTAGGCACTGTGTTAAGCTCTTTAAATGTGTTTTATCCTCACAGTAAGCCTATAAGATAGGCATTTTCCATTTTGCACACGAGGAAACTAAGGCAAGTTGAGTAACTTTCCCATGGTCACACAGCTAGTAAATGGAAGGACCAGGATACTACCCAGTTTGAGAGATAAGGCTAGAGAGAGAGGTGGCAGGTTACTGATATAGCTGAATCTCAAACAGTAAGTAGGAGTCAGCCAACCAACAAATGAGGGTGAGGCATGTTACAGTAGAGGGAGTAGAACGGGTAATTACGTGGCACTCCATTGGGCGGGCAGCAGGCATGCAGTGTGGTGCAAACAGTTGGATGTTGTTGTATCAGGTGGAAGGCTGGGAGAGCCAGGAGGAAAGTGCAGAGAGTGCTGGGCTGGGCCAGGCCATAGAGAGCTTGCTAATGGGTGGGGACTCCACTTCTAAGTAATGCCTGATCTAGAAGTTACAAAGCCAAAAATGTGCTTTTGTATAAATGGTTCTCAACTAGGGGTGTTTGGGAATGTGTTGGAGTGTTTTGAATTGTCCCAGTGACTTGCATTTATTGAGCAGGGCCAGGGATGCTGAATGTCCTATGTAGGGGACAGTACCACGTAATGGCCAAACATCTGTAGTATCCTCATTGAAATGAAACTTAGTGGTTTTTTATATTTTCGTGATGATAATATTCATTACCAGAATTTATTAACTTCTTTCCAAAATTATGTATAGAAAATGCATATGCAAAACTGTCTATATTTGTTACATTTGCACAGAAAAATGAGAACCCTAAGGGGATAGAAGGAGGAGGAAACATTGGCAGATAATTTGGATTAGGATAGTAATTGATTTCAAAGATTGTTGCATGAACAGCATTGACTACCAGAAACAAAGATGAAAACAATCTTTAGATTTCTGGTTTTATAATATTTACTATGTGCAAAAGTCATAGAAATCATAATATGTTATTTCAGAAACACTTCTGAAATTTATTGGGCACATTTAAGCATAAATTTAAGCATATTCAAATTCTGTGCTGGATGTTTAAGATAAAAAGCCCTCCTAGAACTTAGAGTTTAGTCAGGGAGCAATCAAGACACGGTAGAAAGTTCTACGGCCTGTGTAAGTAGTGTGCCAGAACAACAAAGAGGAGGTGTACTAGGCAGGGCAGGGATTATGGTCAGCAGGGTGGGGTGGGGGGTCTGCTGTCAGAAAAGAATGAGCAAGTGTTAGGGAGATGAAGGGGAAGTTGGGGAGAAGTTACCAAGTTGTTTTCTAGAGCTAGCTTGCTAAAAGTATAAACTGGAAATAATAATTTCCTCTCTTTTTACATTAATTACGTCTATGTCTAACAGAAACAATAATAAATTCCTATTTATTTCTTGAAAAATTGAGCATATTGGCCGGGCGCGGTGGCTCAAGCCTGTAATTCCAGCACTTTGGGAGGCCGAGACGGACGGATCACAAGGTCAGGAGATCGAGACCATCCTGGCTAACACGGTGAAACCCCGTCTCTACTAAAAAATACAAAAAACTAGCCGGGCGAGGTGGCGGGCGTCTGTAGTCCCAGCTACTCGGGAGGCTGAGGCAGGAGAATGGCGTGCACCCGGGAGGCGGAGCTTGCAATGAGCTGAGATCCGGCCACTGCACTCCAGTCTGGGCGACAAAGCGAGACTCTGTCTCAACAAAAAAACAAAAAAAAAAAAGAAAAATTGAGCATATTTAAGTACTCTGGAGCATTGGTTTTTTCTTTTTTTTCTTTTTTTTTTTTTCCTTCTCTCTCTCTCTTTCTCTCCCTCCCTGTCCTCCATCTCCTTCTTCTCTTCTCCCTGCTTCTGTCTCTCTCTCATGCTCTCAAACAGCTAATTCTAGGGGCTTCCAAGGAGTGCAGAAGAGCCATCAGAGTCACCTGGGAGGCTTTTTAAACTATACAAGCTTCCAATTCTCCCTTCTCTGGGTACTCCCATTGTTGCAAATAACTATGATAGCACACTTCTGTTACTGTGTAACGGTAACCTCACAAGTTTTTCTGAAGACAGAAAAAAGTATGGTGGTCTAATTGGCAAACATTCTTTAGAAACTTACCTCCTAGTTTATTATCTTCCTCTTACCAATTTCCAGCTGTCTTAATTATGTAGCTGTGCTCAGATCTCTTTCACACCCCCCAAAAAAAGTTGTCAGGGTTGGTATCTGCTTTGTTGGCATGGCTTGGCTAGTGGTTTACTACGGTACCATCTTTCCTTCTTTCCCTGTTGCTAGTGATCCACTAATGATATCCAGCTAGAGTACCGTTTTTTGTTTGTTTGTTTGTTTTTTCCTTTCTAGGTATCCCTGCTGGAGTACCGAAAACGGAAACAAGAAGCTAAGGAAAATTCTGCTGGTGGGGGAGGTGACTCTGCCCAGAGCAAAAGCAAGTCTGCAGGAGCTGGGCAAGGCAGCAGTAACTCCGTTTCTGACACTGGTGCCCATGGTGTGCAGGGATCCTCAGCCCGAACCCCATCTTCCCCTCACAAAAAATTCTCCCCATCTCATTCCTCTATGTCCCATTTGGAGGCGGTAAGCCCATCAGATTCCAGAGGCACTTCTTCATCTCACTGCAGACCTCAAGAGAATATCAGCAGTAGGTGGTAAGTTTATATCTGATGTTTTATAGTTAAATTGGGAATGGGGGGAGTATATATCTAGGATCATTCCCAGTTTTACCTAAAATCTATGGGAACACTTGATGGGAACATCTGAGACAGCCAGCCAACAGTACCATCTGTCCTGTTCAGCTGATTTAATAGTGTCAGCTGCAACCCCCCAGCTTTGCAGAATTAAGAGTTACCAACATGCCTGTGGAGCAGCGCTTTGGATGACATGTAGTTATGGATGCAGATGAGCTCTTTTATTTGGTGGGCACTAACACTGCCTCTTCTATTTCTCATTTCACATGAAAGGTGAGTCAAGAATCCAGCCAAGTTCCACATGAATTAACAACAAATGTCTCTCTTCCACACAGTTAGCATATACAGAGCAAAAAGACATTCTGAAAGGACTTGTCTGGTTTAGGGGAGACCGCAAATTTAAAAATGAATAATACTGGTGGCAAATACTGAGGATCAAATGTGTGAAATAGAGAATGAAGCACAGGAGTTCAGGGATCTTGAACTGAAAAAATAAGTCCGAGAAAGAAGAGTCCTGGCTCATATGTTTAATGTTCATTAATCTATGAAACCTTTATTAAACCACTACTATGTATCAGGCATATGATTTCCCAAAGGAGAAATTTTAACATTTTTAAATAGGGGTTCGGGGAAGTTGACATCTTTAATCCACTTTTTCCTTGATTTCTTTTTCTTTAAAAGTGATTGTTGTTGTTAAAAGTGGTTGTTGTGGTGGTGGTGGTTGTTGTTAAAAGTGGTGGTGGTGGTGGTTAAAAGTGGTTGTTGATGATGATGATGATGATGTTTCTCTTTTGTGCCTGACATAGTTGGAGGCAGAGGAAATACCTTGTTTTAAATTGGTTCTGAAGAAAGTGTTAAGAGGATGTTTTTTTTTTTTTTTGTTTTTTTTTTTTTGTTTTTTTTTTTTTTTTGAGACGGAGTCTCGCTCTGTAGCCCAGGCTGGAGTGCAGTGGCCGGATCTCAGCTCACTGCAAGCTCCGCCTCCCGGGTTCACGCCATTCTCCGGCCTCAGCCTCCCGAGTAGCTGGGACTACAGGCGCTGCCACCTCGCCCGGCTATTTTTTGTATTTCTTAGTAGAGACGGGGTTTCACCGTGTTAGCCAGGATGGTCTCGATCTCCTGACCTCGTGATCCGCCCATCTCGGCCTCCCAAAGTGCTGGGATTACAGGCTTGAGCCACCGCGCCCGGCCAAGAGGATGTTTTAAGAAAATACACTGTGCACCTTGGTTAGGGCTTCATTTGTTTTGGTTAAGTCCTGTGGCTTGAACTTGCACCCTGTTGCCTTTACAGGATGGTTCCCACATCAGTAGAACGACTCCGAGAAGGAGGAAGTATCCCCAAGGTCCTCCGAAGCAGTGTGAGGGTGGCCCAAAAGGGAGAGCCCTCTCCCACGTGGGAGAGTAACATCACAGAGAAAGACTCAGGTGAGCCCATGGCCTTCTACTGCTACCACATTCAGGGACACATGAGCCAAGTCCTGTACAGTTCATGCCGAGTTCTGAGTTGAGGTGAGTCAGTTTCTGAAGCAGTTGGGCTCTGCCGTATGCTAGGTTCTAGCCCACTTGTGCTCATTTTGGCTACAACATTTGTAAGATCTAGCGTTGCTTGCTCTCTGTCTGCTCTTTTTTCCCCAAGGAATACCTTTCTGTAACTCTCATCTCTTCAAAGTCCTGGAAATCTACTTCGATGAAGGATGAAGAGAAAGAAGGAGACGGGAATCAGATCAGGCATTTAGAACATAGCCCATAATTAACCACTCCTTTTGCCCTTCTGGCATGCTGCACTCACCCAGTTTGTCACAAAGAGAGCAGCATGGGTTGGTGATGGCATTGGTGATTTGAATGAACAATGGCTGTTTCTTACTTATTCTAAGAAGCCAAGTTGATTTTTTTTTATGTGTTACCTTCCAGACCCTGCAGATGGAGAAGGTCCAGAGACATTGAGCTCAGCACTCTCTAAAGGAGCAACTGTTTACAGCCCTTCCAGATACAGCTACCAGGTGAGATGAGAAATTGTTGATATCTAGATACAGGAGTGTGTTCTGGGTTCCAAATTGTCCTGGCCATCCTTTGCCATTGAGATGCTGTCTTTGCATATAGTTTCAGCAACTTTGGAAATAAGTCATCATCTGCTTGCCCTTAGGTAATAAATTATGCCAGAAAATGAATAAGGTGATCAAAGAGAGACATTTTACTGCCTTTGGTTTCCTAAAAAGAATACATGGTTAAAAGATGAAGAAAAAAAAAACATAGGGTATTATAAATGTTTACCATTTATATTAAAAGTCAGCCATTTAAGGGACTTGTTCACCTCCTTATTCTTTTCCTCCCAACTTTGCTAGCTCCTGCAGTGTGATAGTCCTCGGACAGAATCACAAAGCCTCCTTCAGCAGAGTTCCTCCCCCTTCAGAGGACATCCTACACAATCTCCAGGATACAGTTATCGAACTACTGCACTGAGACCTGGAAACCCCCCCTCTCACGGTTCTTCAGAATCATCCCTCTCTTCCACGTCCTATTCCAGCCCCGCCCACCCTGTGTCCACAGACTCGTTGGCCCCATTTACGGGGACACCAGGGTATTTTAGCAGCCAGCCACATTCTGGAAACAGCACTGGCAGCAATCTTCCAAGGAGGAGCTGCCCTTCTAGTGCTGCTAGCCCTACCCTGCAGGGACCCTCAGACTCGCCAACCTCAGACTCGGTTTCTCAGTCCAGCACAGGAACTCTGAGTTCCACCTCCTTTCCTCAGAACTCTAGGTCATCATTGCCATCAGACTTACGGACTATCAGTCTGCCCAGTGCTGGGCAGTCAGCTGTCTACCAGGCCTCCAGGGTATCTGCGGTTTCCAATTCACAGCACTACCCACACCGTGGGAGTGGGGGTGTGCACCAGTACCGACTCCAGCCACTGCAAGGGTCAGGAGTCAAGACTCAGACAGGACTTTCCTAGGGCTTCTGGATTTGGGCAAACAGAACTGAATGAGCCCATAGCTGCTTCCTTCCAGCTGCCTCTTGAACCTAGGCCGAGCATATTGCTGGGGAAGGGGGGGTACAAGGTGCCAGAGGATTGGGTCTGGTGGACAAGAAACAAGACTTGTGGTCACAATTGGCCTCTGGCCTTGGAGAAAGATGTAAATCTTGTCTGAAGCAGAGACTATAAAGAAGTTTCTCCCTGCTGTCAAGGGTACATTGTTGACAAGCAAATGGTGTTTCAGTTAGTAACGGTTCTAAGTGCAATGAGTTGTGTTGAAGCCTCCGTCTCCCATCCTTGCCTGTAGCCTGTAGTCACTTGTGCAGTGAGGACATCTTTTTAAATTTAAAAAAAAAAAAAAAAAAAAAAAAAGTTTTCAAAGGAAAAAAGGTGAAAAGAGCCAATCTCAAAAGCCCCAAGCCATCTGAGTACTGTTAGGGTTTTATGCACTTAAGAAAAAAGGTAGGTATATGAATGTTCATCCTAAGACAACCATTCCAAAAGCAGGTATCTGGCCAATGTGTGTCCACCAAGAATACTGCCTATCTTTGTCTTAAGATCACCAAGAAATAGGCAAGGATAGTAAAGCTTGGAACCTGCACCGACTGGAGGGTGCCTGGCTCTTTGAAGAAACGCTCATGGTCAGCTCTTGATTATTCGGGAGCAGATTATCTGAGTAGATTGAGCCTCCAACTGTTGCTATCCTACTCCCCCTTCCCAAGCTATTTCACAGCTCAGTAACCCATGAAGTAAGTAGACAAGGAAAAGCGGAATGAGACAGGATATAGGCCAATTGCATTGCTACTTACCAGCTTTTGGCAATAAATTTGATTAGGAAGGATACCGAGTGGTTTGGGAATGCTTCGAATTTTATTTTTTCTACTCCCAATTAATCAGGAGTTGATGATCCCATGAGCAGGACCGCCTCCATGATTGGGGAGCATGCACTTGTGACTGCAGGGTAAGAGTGGGAAGATAGGTTTGTGGAGTGGCACCGACAGGACTGTGATTGTGTGTGGGCCTGCCCCACATTTCTTTGGGGGATGCTTATGTGAGAGTGGGCCCAGTGAAAGAGTTACCAAGCCACCCACACCCCTAACACTGTTCTGGATGAGAGATGAGAGCAGACCGGCTTCTCCCCATCAGTGCATTGTGCCTGTTGTACACCCCTGGAGGAGCCCTGGAGCCAGCCCAGGTGGGGTACACAATCTTTTTAAATTCCATATGGTTGCCAGCTTATTTCTTTCACTTGTTTACTGTAATATCTGGCGTGTTTTTATTTATCTAATTTTGTATTCAGTTATAACCATGGTAGGGGTAGTGAATATATGACAGGTGTAATCCCTGGTGCTGCAGTGGACCTTCTTTTCTTTTGGACAAGATAATACTGTGAGTTTCCCTCCTTCCTTCCCTCTAATTTGTTTTCCTTTTCTCCCCCAGCCTCTTGCATCCCCTTCTTTTCTACCCTGTCCTACAACTATCATATGCACAGTCTTCTCTCTTTGTGTGTGACTGTTACAAAATTTCACTTTTCAAAATCGAAATCAGGTGTTTGCTCAAATGAGGGGAGATTTTTTTTTTGTTTTGTTTTGTTTTTAATGCTGAGACCTCAGCAGAGTACTTTTCTTTTTGTTGTTTCCCCCACAAACCCATCAGTCTGGGAGAGCATTGGGAGTGGAAATCATGTTGCCTGGGATGCTGGTTTCTTTGTATATTATATAAAACGTATGTAAATGTCTCTCCATTTGGGCTGGGGTTTGCATTCTCCCCTTGGCTATTAACCGAGGGGAGAGGCCAGCGGGCAGGCGGCCCTCACCCTGCCTGGCACGTGCAGAGACCCCAGCCACTCTGTGTGGGCAGGGTGCTGTCAAGACCAGACCTCTTGGGGGGGTAGGGGCGGGGGGGTGGGGGGAACTCTTGGAAGGGAAGAAGTATCACTTCTTTCTCAAGTGGAGTGTTTACACCTTGCTGTAACATTTGAACTTTCACAAGAGATGTAATAATTTTGATAATAAAATTCTTAACCATAATAATCAAAAAGTTGAGAACTTCTTTGTCCAATTTTGTGGCCCTGCCTTACCTAGTTAATGCCATTTTTATCTGAGGAGAATGTGCTGTTGGTGGAGTTGTTTTCCCCATCATAATGGGGCCAGGAATACTGTCTGACCTTCCTTCGCTTTTTATGATTGCAGTCAGGACAGTGTGAAGGCAGACCCTGCAACAGGGCAAGTGAGCATTAAAAACTGCCTTGAACTTGAGTGGTGTTCCTCATCTTGGAGCAACTATTCATTGGTCTTTTTCTTTTTCATTCAAAAACAATGCCAGACATTGTTTTTGGTGCTGGGCTTATGGTGATTAGAATGCTGGTTGAGGGTGGGCAAAGTAAGGTCTCTTCTTTCATGGAGTTTACATTCTAATGGAGGAGAGACCTAAACTAGTATATAATTTTAAATAGTCATTGCCATGTTAACAGTTAATTGTTTCATAGCAGATATGAAGGAGCCACTCTAGATTGGTTGGTCAAGAAAAGTCTTTGAGGAGTTGACATTTAAACTGAGACTTCAGTGACAAGGAGGCAGTCCTGGGACGATGTGAGTGAAGTTTGTTCTTGAACATTGCAGACTCTGTGGTAGAAAAAGCTTGGTTAAGATGTAGTAAATGGGTGGGGCCGGGCAAGAGGATAGAATATTCTGTAAGAGGGAGATAGGGGTCATATCATGTAGAGCAGTGGTCGGCAAACTCACTCTATAAAGGACCGGATAGTAAATATTTAGACTTTGCAAGCCATATATGGTGTCTGTCATAACTATTCAGCCCTTTGGCTGGGTGCAAATCATGCCTGTAATCCCAACTGGGAGGCCGAGGCGGGCAGATCACTGGAGGTCAGAAGTTTGAGACCAGCCTGGCCAACATGGCAAAACCTTGTCTCTACTGAAAATACAAAAATTAACCAGGCGTGGTGGTGCCATCTGTAATCCCAGCTACTCAGGAGGCTGAAGCAGGAAAATTGTTTGAACCTGGGAGGTGGAGGTTACAGTGAACCAAGGTCACACCACAGCACTCCAGCCTGGGTGATGGAGCAAGACTGTCTCCAAAAAAAAAAAAAAAAAAACAACTATTCAGCTGTTCCATTGGAGTGCAAAAGTAGGCATAGACAATATGTGACTATGTTCCAATAAAACTTTATTTACAGGAAACAAGTGGCAAGTTGGACTTGGTTTGCGGGCTGTAGTTTGCTGGTCTCTAATGTAGAACCTTGTAGGTATAATTTAAATAAACTGCATTCAGTAAGTACAGTGGAGGAGTCATTGCAGTATTTTAAGGAGAAAAGTGACATTGTCTAATTTATATTTGGTTGATTTTTAAAAATTACTCTGATTGTTTTGATCCTGTTGGTAAAGAGATGAATAGGAGCTGAGAAACCGGTTTGGAAGGTAGAGCGGTTGTTCAGGCAAGCAACAATACGATGATGGCTTCTATTAAGACGGTAATGATGGGGACAAAAAGTGATTGGAATCAGGATATGTTTTGCAAGTACACAGCAGAACTTGCCAATGGATTGAATTGGCAGTATTGTGTTCTAACATTTGTTTGACAAATGTTTACTGAGTAACTAAGGTAGACTGCGTTTTGCGAAGCACGTAAGGAATTCAAAGATGAAGATGCTATTTATTAGTTGAAGGAGGTTAGAAAATAATTGGAAGACTGGGTGCAGTGGCTCACACCTGTAATCCCAGCACTTTGGGAGGCCAAGGCAGGCGGATCACGAGGTCAGGAGTTCGAGACCAGCCTGACTAACATGGTGAAACCCGATCTCTACTAAAAATACAAAAATTAGCCAGGCGTGGTAGCGCATGCCTGCAATCCCAGCTCCTTGGGAGGCTGGGGCAGGAGATCGCTTGAACCCAGGAGGCAGAGGTTGCACCACTACACTCCAGCCTGGGCGACAGTGAGACTCCATCTCAAAAAAAAAAAGGAATTAAGTGGAAACATAACAAAACTGTTTATTTTCTTAGAAGAGCCCTCCAAAATGACCTAGGAGTACCTAGGCGACCTACCACTAACCACAACCTAATTCCGCCTGGGGTAGGACGAGAATAGTGTGCATGGTCTTTAGAAAGTGTTTCCATATACAGTGTCTTACTTCGACTCATAATTGTGTGAAGAAAGCAAGCCAAATGCCAGAAGTTAAAGATGAGAAATTGAGACCTAGTACAGTGTTTCAGCTACACCACAGGGCTTCTGATAATGAATAAAACTAACTGATTTCTGCCATAATTGGAAGATTCTGTTCCATGACCATTGGCCGAACACCTATTGTGTGCTAGGCTATATCTGAGGTGCTGAGAATATCAAGGTAAGACAGTCAACTGCCCATTGAGAGTTAACCTATTTGCTATTCTTTTCAAGTACCTACTGTATTGCTAGGTACTTTGCTTTTGATATGGTGTAAATCAGAGGTGTCCAATCTTTTTGGCTTCCCGAGGCCACACTGGAAGAATTATTCAACACATAAAATACACTAACAATAGCTAATGAGAAGAAAAAATATATATATATTTTAAGGAAGTTTATGATTGTGTGAGGCCGAATTCAGAGCCATCCTGGGCCACGTGCAGCCCGTGACCTGTGAGTTGGACAAGCTTGCTGTAAATAGAAACTAGACAATATTAATTAAAGAAGTAAGCCAGTGCAACAGTGGCACCTTCTATGTCACTTTACATTTTCCTGGACTCTTAAGTCATCAGCTACCTCATTTACATGTAACAATGTGTAAGGTAGGTATAAGTTCAGAAGATACAACTTACCCAAGATTTCTCTCTTTTAAGTGGCAGACCCAAACCAACAGTTTTGGAAATTTTGCAGTTAACCCAGAAAACAAATAGAAACAGCTAGAGATACTGTGACACTACGACCAGAAACCACTTACCTAACTGAAAAAGTATATGATACCCTTTACTATCTTAAAAACAGCAGTCTGGCCCTTTTGCCCCCCAGGCATCAGTTTGACAGTGTAGGGTTCTCTGTTTAGCAGAGGTTACCCTGAAGGGAAAAAAAAATGCAGTTGTCCAAATGAAGCAGGCCCTTTGGCTTTTAAACTGCACTGATGACAACCTCCATATTCTGCTGTGAATCTCAGAGACAGAAAGGAGTTTACTGAGGGTTCGTTCTTTTTTTCTTTTAAGAGACAGGGTCTCACTCTGTCACCCAGGCCGGAACGCAGTGGCATAATCGTAGCTCAGTGCAACCTTAACCCTCCTGGGCTCAAGCAATTCTCCTGCACCACCACGCCCAGCTAATTATTTTTTTGTAAAGACAGGCTCTTGCCATATTGCCCAGGCTGGTCTCAACCTCCTAGGCTTAACGATCCTCCTGCCTCAGCCTCCTGAAGTGCTGGGATTACAGACATGAGCCGCCACACCCGGCCTGCCTAGGGTTCTTAAAATGGTCAGGTCTAAAGATAAATGATGGAAACAGTTTGGAGAAAAGCATACTCATTGAAGGAGATGGTGCTCTTGTAACTTTTACCTGCTCCTGCATTAAAAAATTAACTGGCAGGGATTCTGAAATTATAGTTTTTACTATTTCTGAAATTACCCATTAAAGCACCACAAAGCAGTCATGATAGGAAACCTGGAAACCTTGGACAACTTGACAGCAAAACTAGGTATCCCCAGAAACCCCCAAACAAAAAACGGGTAGAGAGAAACCACTAATAGCCACAAGACCGGCATGGTATCACTATCTGTTGTAGTGGAAGCAATGGCACTTCTGATGAATCTCAGAACTTCAAAATAACAAGTACTCACTTGATGCCGGGAGCGGTGACTCACGCCTGTAATCCCAGCGCTTTGGGAGGCCGAGGCAGGCAGATCACAAGGTCAGGAGATTGAGACCATCCTGGCTAACATGGTGAAACCCCATCTCTACTAAAAATACAAAAAATTAGCCGGGCGTGGTGGCGGGTGCCTGTAGTCCCAGCTACTCAGGAGGCTAAGGCAGGAGAATGGCGTGAACTCGGGAGGTGGAGCTTGCACTGAGCTGAGATCGAGCCACCGCACTCCAGCCTGGGTGACAGCGAGACTCCATCTAAAAAAAAAGTACTCACTTGAAAGCTCACCAAGCCAATTTGAGAACAGCAGCTGAAACTAGGTGGCATTTCCAGTGAGTACAAAGGATGCTTGATTAGGCCTGAAAGGACTGGAAGGGTCTGGACCTAAGAAACTTAATTCAAAGCCCTTACAGGACAATGCCCCACACCAAAATTCCTTGTTAGAATCCAAACTGAACAGGACATGCAAAACGATGGGAGGGGGTGTAGAGCGATTAAATTCATTAGATTAAATGAAGTATTTTGAAAAATAAAATTATGATTATCCCATAAAATTCAGAATGTACTATCCTTACAGAAATAATACAAGGATATTAAATAACTTGTTCTTTTAACTCCTGAGAGAAACAATTGTTCATAAAGTTGCAAGCATATTGTGTTGAATTGTTGAATTTAAATAGCTATGGTTCACACAGTCCATATTTCAATATTTCACATACACACCAAAAATGAGAATACAGCCATGAAATGAAAAACTATCATAAGTCATGCCTGCTTTTTAAAAGTGCGGAATCACTAATTCCATATAAAAATTGATTAAAAAAAAAACGCAAGTCTTAAAAACCTACAGGTAAAAATGAGCAGAATAACATCTATAGAGACAATAAAAGTATGCCAAAGACATGCAGTAAAACATTAAAAAGTAAAAAATGGCAGGGCATGGTGGCTCACACCCATAATCCCAGCACTTTGGGAGGCCAAGGTGGTTGGATTATTTGAGGTCAGTAGTTTGAGACCAGCTTGGCCAACATGGTGAAACCCCATCTCTACTAAAAATACAAAAATTAGCCCAGCATGGTATCAGCCAGGCATGGTGGTGCACGCCTGTAATCGCACCTTTTCGGGAGGCTGGGGCATGAACATCGTTTGAACCTGGGGGGTAGAGGTTGTAGACCCATCTCAAAAAAAAAAAAAAAA